TCTAATAGATCTATATTTATATATTTATAAAGAATGAGATTTAATATTACTTATATATATAAATAATATAATTATAACAACCAAGAATTCAAATAAGCTGAATTAGTTTATAGAAAGCTATCTATAAGATTCAATATTAAAAATCTGAAAAAAAATCCATAAGATTATCCAGATACTAAAAAATAATCAAAAAACATTAATATTGATTAAAAATCCACATTTGTATAAGAGATCTAAGCATATTGATATATACTATCACTTCATCAGAGACTTAATGGAAAAGGGAAAGATCTTTGTTAACTATATCAATATTACTAATATAATAACTGATAGGATAATAAAGCTATATAAAAGAATAATATTCAAAAGATTCCGGAAAATATTGAGATTGGAAGTGTAAAAAAGAATAACACGAGTGGAATATAGGAAGAAGTAACCTTAATAGAAAATGTTGGAAATTAAGATTATATATCATATATTCTATATATATATCTATCTTATCTTCCCTAACATTAGTTCAGATAGATGCCTTAGGCATTCATTCACCATATAGTTGAGGTTGTTCTATATATCTCCTTCACTTTATATATTGTATAATATACCTTTCTTAAGATAGTCAATAATGCTGCTACTTCCACCACGCCATAGGGCATCACTTTCTTACATACAAGTCTATATATATATGAGGTAATATAACACAATAACGAAACTATGAAATCATGAAATAGAAATTGTATTATAAGAAAAAATAATGATGCCGAGTTAGGAAGGCGGGGTTTTTTTTAGCATTGGGTAATTTATATTTATATGAGGGGCACCAAGAGTTTATAAAGGATTGAAAATCCTTCGTAAGTACGCTACCTATTCTACCGGTATATATATACATGTTGCCAAGGATCAAAAGTACATGGAGTAGAATGGAATTTGACGCTGAAAGATTACAAGCAGATAACCGCTCCTTATTGCCAATAATGTTTCTATGTATAATTTACAAAAGGAAGTATCCAAGTAGGAAAGAAAAGAGAAGTGTGTAAATAGGTAGGTAGTAGGTATCCAAGTCTTGCTTTACCTACCAGTGACTTTTCGCTCGTACCATCGCAGTGGAAAATACGTCACGATGGTGAAAACGCCACTCAGGAAAATACCAACATCACCTCCAAAGGGTCCGAATTTTTTCGCAATCGGACCTGGTTATGGTGTTAGTATGTAATAGGGTTTGGAGATGAGAGCGTTTGCTTACCGATATACCAGACTTGAGCCATGCCCGGTAGGCCACCACCCAAATAACCGAACAAAAGAGCCATGACAGCAGCTAAACCCCATGGTAGTTTTCCAGGTCTATCCCAAAAGTTCAATTCGTAACCTTCTGTGCGACGGAACCATTTGTCTTCTATGAGAAGAATACATGTGAAAGAAACTGTCCAGTATCCAAGGAGGGAGACAAAATCGCTGACGATGCTCGATAAGTGTGACCTGCCGGCAATTGCGAGAACGGCGACGACTAGAGCATTGGCGAATGACCAGACAATTCTTGGGATTGCGTGGAAATAATGACCAAGTAGTTGAAGGGATAGACCACTCGAGTAATTTACCGCGACGTTGTTGCCGATGACGGAGAAAACCAGGAGAACAAGACAGAATTTGGCGAAACGAAAAGGGTGGTAAGCCTCTAGAAGAAGACCACCAAGTCCATGGTCCTCATATGCTACGGCGAAAGTTGGATTTGATTGTGAAGCCAATGCCGCATTTCCAAGACATGCACCGATGACTGTCACAAAGATCGTAGGGAGACAAATTCCCATGATGGTTAGACAGAACATCTTCCAGCCTTTAGTATCCGCGGGGTAGTTGCAGTAGTAATCCGAGGCAATTGAGCACCATCCAGATGCAGAGGAAAAGCAAACAGCGAAGAAACTTAGCCAGGAGCCAGAGAATCCAAGTCCAGATACAGAAGATGGAAGATTTGGCTCCATCTTAGGAGCGACTTGACCAATCAAGATACACATGAGAATGAATGTCATGATCCACGAGTATTTCTCCCATGTATGAATGAGTTTGAAGCCGAAGATTGATACCACGTAACTGATAACCGCGATGATGATAATTCCAACCACAATTGTCATTTTATAATCGGAGACGGCAGCCAGAATTTGACCCACAACCACAATATTGACCACGGCAAAACCTCCACCAATAACAACATTGAGAACCGAGCAGAGTTTTGCGCCGTAGAATCCGAAAGAGTATCGAGAACATGCAATCGCACGGAGACCGAGCTTGAACCTCGTTAGCAGTATTCAAGTATCACGTTTCTAGAACACTTACCTTTGGACCTAGAGTACCACAAAACGCAGTGCAAGCGGCTCCCAAAATCGTTGCAACAATAATGGCGCTAACCGCCTGACTCAAAGAGAGACCATATACTTCGGGATCCGTACCAAGAAGGCCAATTGGTAGGGTACCAACATGACATGTGAGAGACCACCAGAGAAAGAAGACATTGAGAATGGACGGAGGTTGCTTGTCTTCTTCATGTATCCTATCAATGCCTTGCGTTTCTATCCCCAGTTTCTCGTCAAGCCATTCTTCACCACGTCGCAGTGTGCGCAAGAAGCCTTTTTGTTCTCGAAGTTCTCTAGCCAAAACTACCTCCTCGGATTCGCCCTCGGATGAATGAGTTCCATCCGCGTTCACAACAGGACCCAGGTCTTTCTCGAGGCGGCCGTTTTCTAGATCAAGGGATTGTTTAACATCATGAGCATGTTTTAGATCAACATGATCACCTTGAACGAAGTCTGCCATTGCTCCAATGTCGTCAATATTGATAGGTAAAAAAATGAAAAGAGAAGACTTTTAAGGATGGGTAGGACAATCGGAGGGGGAATATGACCAAGTTACATATGTATGCAGTGGAAAGCTAAGGCTTGACATTCTAGAAGAAAAATTTAATTCATGGAAGGTGCCTCACATATCTCGGGACGAATCAATTAAACAGGGAACGATAGGTGAGCTGTACGAAACCTGATAAGGACTTCACGAAGATGGGGAAGTTTTTAGCAAATCCTTTGGTGATTTTCACTGGTTCGTGGTAGATAAGCGTCCTGGTTGGTTCCTTCTTGGCGGTTCTCTATCAGGAAGGTATTTTGTGGTTAGTGGATCAAGGTACCGATGTGGAAATATGGCGGACGCTCCGTTTCCCATATCCTTCAAAATTGGCCGAGGGGGCACAGGATAGCAGGACCATGGTAAATGTATATAAAGAACCAAGAAGATACCCCAGGTTGGGGTAATTATTGGATTTTTGAAATGGATTTCATCGGCGCACGCCGTTCACCACGTTTCGGGAGAATCACCTTGCCACTAATGGGAGATAATCCAGCCTTGTTAGAAGCAGGGTTCGGAAGATAGTGGTCCAATTGTCTGATATGAAGAATCGTAAGAACCTTGAAAACAAAGCCATATTATCTTTTCAATTAGATGCTGAGATGAGAGGAGACGGGAAAAGATACTGGCATGAGGGGCATCTGTAGTACAATGCAATAGTTAAAAAGAAGAGCCACGAAAAGGTATCATGCGGATGGCCGGAGTAACGGCTCCATGTTGTGAAGAGGGAATGAGGAAACGTTCTTGTGTAACGAAACACTGGTTGACATATCCAAATGAAGGAAGAGATCGTGTTTGTCAATGCAGTGACCGAAAACTGACGGTGCAAGGATTGATGTGACCCGTGTGACTTGATAAGGTAAAGAAGTGGCGCGGGGATAATCACGTGTCACCAACCGGCCAAGTTGTCACATTGAAGTTGTGTTATTTGTAAAATAGAGTGTATGAGAGGAGCATAACGGACTTCATCTCAAGTCATGGACTTTAGACAAAATCATGTCTAGATAAGGGCTGGAACTAATCTCGGTATAATAAGATGGCCTATCTAGTATATACCTACGGGTGGGTATACTCTAAGCGGGGTGTGGTATCGAGCTTGAGAACATCGTTCATCCCCTGGTAATACATATTTCCCTACTCGGCCGACATAGTCCAGAAGGATAGGATGTATTTTAACCGGCTGCATGCTTTCCTTGTTGTTCTGCAGCAGCTTGAACGATGAGAATTCAGAACTCCACATTTGCCCAGGCAAAAGAATCAGACTTATCTAGCCTTGGTAGGGAAAGACCATTGGCGCCAAGGAAGCTTGTCTTAAATTGGGCGTGAATGGTGAGCCGACTCATACTCAAATTCAACGACATCAAACATTCCAGTAGGTTACAATGGGATTCCTCGCTTGAAGAGAATCTTCTCCAAGTAGTATGGAGCTCATCGTCAACCTTTCGGACCTCAAGACCGTATCATGTTGCTGACCTTGCCATTCATGTTTCCCTGAGCCTGGTAGCGATGTTATATTGTTTGATGAAGAGGTTTTCCTACTGTTTTGGGCATCATATCCCTCCTGTCCCTTTTACTCAATGCTTTGGTCCTTTTTTTGGTTTTTCATAGCTGGAAGCTTGCTTCTTCAACTTTTGGCACCAGAAAATCAGGCCTGCAATGCGGCCACCGGGGTGTACTCATCAAATAACCAGGCCATTCTACATTAAGTTATAATGCTTGGATCCTTTCAGCTGTTGAAAATCGTAGTGGAAACTTCCCAAAGCTTTTTATAAGGCGAAAGACATTGCCGAGAAACTTCAGAGCATAACCGAATGTCCAAGTACAACTACTTGTTCAACAGTACTTCTTGAGACTAGAGTTTACTCTCCATGTCTTTGACATTAGTTTAACAGAACAGCTTTTTCTCAGTCATTTGTTGACTTCTCATCTCAATTCTCTAGTAGTATACTGACTAGTTTGTATTATCATTTTGTATCTGGAAAACACAGGTTGTAGAAGGATTGACAAGAAAAAGGAGGAATAGGTGGAGAGAGAAACATGAAAATAATTGTGTGAAGTCCTTTTAATGAACAAATAAGGGAGCTGTTCATCACACTTATTTTGCTTTGTCACTTTGGCTGTATGGTACCAACATTGGAGGTGGACCGGACTGGTGAGGTACAAGTTCACCGAGGTTTATTTCCAGACTTAAGATCAAATGATCGATACAGCAGAAAGGTGAAGAATCAACAAAGTGAATTATATCTCGGCTAGGTCATGCGAAGAGTCCATAAACAATACTTTCCCAAAGTATTTTGAGAACCTGTTTTGAAATACATTTGTATCAAGTCAATTATACAAGACCATTGAGTATACACAATGCAACAACATCAAAGAGATGAGATGTCTCTTCACCTGCCTCCAAAGAAGCGTATATGCTTAGATTTAAACCACTATTCTATACCTGGCGTCGCAGCAGTTAAGATAAACAAGAGTCTATTGTCGTCGACCGCTATCCTAGAATCATTGCCAAATATCGTTGACCAACAAGGCCCAATACAATATGTGGTATTATTCACCTTTCTCAACATCGATGATTTTATAGACTTGTAGTGCATAACACTGACAAGTTTCAGGCCACACAGAAATGTGAACATCCCTTGAATCATTTCTATATCTTTCGTTGGCTCCCCAAGGAACTTCAAATTCATATATGGAGCACTGCTGCTACAGATATCGTTGCACAAATCATCACGATATCCAGCGAGAATCAACACAGTCAACCACGGCAGCAAACCAACCAATACCATCAAGGCAGCGCATACATACACAACCAACCCATTATCCTCACAGCTCGATACGTTGTTCCACATATGCTGCACGTCTGTCAAAACGCTAGAGAAGTAGCTTTGAAATACTACCGACCGGTCTTCGCTCGCGAAATCGGAGGCGCACCTATCTACATGACCATTGACGACCATCGTACTCCGGACACCATATTCTTCAGCGACCTAACCGCGCTCCAAATGCTCCGCTCACGCACTCAGAATTTCCGAATCATGAAAAACGACATGGATTTCATCAAATCCGCCATCGTATGCACGAACATCCACAAGAACCCTCGAAAAAACTCGCAAAATCTCCGCTGGCTCACTTCCTCCCTGCGAGAAATTGACACGTTGTGGATTGCAAAGGAGAAACCATGTACGTGTGATACTAGCAGGATAAGACTACCAATGATGTTGAACCATACGCAGTATCTATGGGCACATATCATGATTTCTCAACGCGCTACTGTGCAGCAAAGGAAAAATTTGGCGGGTTTTCATATGGATGTTGAAGCGGTGAGATGTGTACAGGATCCGAGTTATTGTGCTACGAAATGGGGATTTAGGGTTCCGGAGGCTAAAATCGTTTCGATACATCAGTTGAAGGCGATGGCTGGTCTGGTTGTCGGGAGAAGGTATGTTTGAAATATACCTAGTAGTATGTGGAGAGTTTGGTGGCTAATTGTTTTGTTGTAGCCCACAGTCTCGTGTTACTCTTGAGTATCTTCATGATAGTTGAAGGATGCTCCTTTCGTTTAGGATTACTTTACAATAGAGATTCAAGGGTTCGTATTGGACGGAATCGGAATCTTCTTTGTACAATTGGTGTATGAAATATAATTGGTAAGGACGGGGTAAAAATTGAACGGTTGTGAAGCAGGATGGTTATATGGTGGTGATGATATGAAAATCATCTACAGTACTACTATACTAGTAAACACCGACTGTCAATCACTAGCCCTACTCGAGTATGCATATAATGCACTTGCCAGTGGTCCACTCTCCCATGTGTTCATGAAGTAGTACCACATGCATGTATGGATACCGGAAGAAACTAGTGATTCTTATGATATTCAGAAGTTCACAAAATTATATTCCCGCAAAACTTCCTCCTTCAACATAATCTTACCGACGAAGTGATTGTGCTGGTAGTGCATATATTTCTCCATGAGTCCATGTACAGTTTTCCAAATTCCCAAAATCAAGTGATTTTCAATCCCCTATAGCACATCCTGATGGGAATATCTCATTGAGTGCCTTCTCTCACTCATACTGCTGCTGTGCTGATGTGATGGCTAAAGTCCCTTCGAATACCAAATACCTTTCTTGGCTCAATCACAACTTTTAATCTTTTGTCCATTGACAATAGGATATGTATCCTAAGATTGGACTTTCGCTGTCCATTTTCAATTCTCGATATACCATTCATTATATACCCTATGAGATTCTGGGTTGAACAATGAAATAGGAATCGAGCATGCATCAGTTTGTGCAAATAATTCATTTTTGCATCCAAATCAACTACCACAATTTTTCCAGAATGAAAGAGAAGGACAGCGATGAGTATGAGACACAATCATATTGATATATTCTAAAAGTATCCGCTTTTCTATACTCGAGTATAAAGCCAAACTTTCTACGTCCTCCAAAAAGTCTACACCTCTACACCTCTATACCTCTACCTGCCAGAAAATTTCGATTCGAGTGTATCTTCTCTTCTCTTCTCTTCTCTTGCGAAACACATCTGGCCTGGCTATATTTTCAATATAAACCTACACGTTTAAACCATATCCCCATATTCCCACATCCTCACATCCCCATATCCCCCCTTCACCGCGATAGCGAAACCCCTGACTGAGCATCTGCGTGCAAGAACTTGTAGCGACAACAGAACAGAACAGTCCTCGAGTCTAGAGCATGGTTCCCCACAGGAATCACCATACCACACTTATAGATAGGGATTCTGACTCATTGATATTAATCATATTATAGCATAGCACAGCACACTCATGCCGTGTCGTTCCTCGTTCCTCGTATGGATATCTTGAAAATCGACACAAACAAATATCGCAATAGTGATAACACAACTAAAAGCGAAAGCACCACCTTCAGTTATAAACTGTTTTATCTCAAGCGCGTTACTATTGTGGCGGTGGTGGTATATATCTCCATCTATCTACTCGTATTCTATCGATATAAGCCTGTCCATCCCTTTCATTCATTTCATTCTACCGATTTTCACCTTCAATATTATATTAGATAGAGAGAGCGTGAGGATATCATATCGGAGCCGTGTACCTACCTACTCTAGCTAGACACAAAAGAAAGAGGAGTTGGATACCTAGTATGCAGAGTTACATATGTCTTCTTGCTACTTCTCTTCCTGTTAGTACGAATATTTATATATATTTCTGTGAGCTTTTTTGTTTTTATATTTCTTGTTGTGTCATGTCATGACATGTATCTCGTGATTTATGGAAATACTCCATATACCAACCGGTATGTGCTGCGATGAAAAGGAGAAGGAGAAGGAGAAGGAGAAGGAGGAGGCAGTAACTACTAGGTAGGTACTTAGGTAGGTACAGAGGTATTTCTCGAGTATATATCAGCTAGGTACTTACCTAGGTAGTCACTTGTACAAACCACTTGACGAAAAGAAAAACTTACCCTCCCCTTCATAAGGTTATCTATAGGCAGGTATCTACCAACTATTTAAATAAATATGACCGACAACATCAAAGTATACTATATTAGTATATTGTATGATCATTTACACAAACACAATTACGTATATTTAAGTTATTTCCATACCGTACCTACCTACCTAGGTACATACAAAACCTGGTGTAACATTCCACAATACATAAAAAAGGTAATTATTAGGCAATAAGACCGAGCATTCCTTCCCAAAAATGAAGAAATTACCCAATTTGGACGAAGAATGACTCAATAGTCTTCATAGCTCAATAAGTCAAGCCTGGACAATGTTAGCGCGGGGGTCAGAAGACGATGACATGTGCACTTCTTAAACATCACATCACATAACAACATCACATCGGATTGGATTGTCAATGATTTAATTTAATCTAATCCAATCCAATCCTACGTCTACCACTTTTCACCTATACACCTACCTATACATCTGAGATTCAATCATTTTCATTTTCATTCTCATTTGTCTCGATAGATGGGATGAGAATTTGTATATCATTGTCGTCCGTAAGAAATTGAAATTTATTTTCCTCTTTCCCCTTCCCTTCCCTTCTTTACAGTAATATTATTCACTTTCGTCACGAGGCGAATTATTGAAATTACCTACCTATACTTTCTCAAGTCTCACTGCACTTGCAATATTCGACGGAGCGAGTACTGAGAGACAACAACAAATAACCTACGTTACAACTGCTCTACGACTCTGCAACTCTGCGAGTATTATAATAACAAGAGGTAGATATCAGGTATGGTGAAAAAGTATACCTATGCGACCAAAGAAATACGCTGAACAGAAACAGAACAAAAGTCGCATACTCCCACAAAATGCAGAGCTCAAAGTATATCCTCACTCTCTTCGCCATCTTCCTCTTCCTCTTAAGCGACAACTACGTTATCGCTCGCCGTCACAACCGTAGACAGTCCCCCTGTTCCGCCTCTTCAATACCCGGCTCTCCTGCACCCCCCACCACCACTCCCCAACCTCCTCCTGTCTCCACGCCCCCATCCACTACCCCTACACCACCCATCAGCACCTCTCCTCCTACATCCCCACCATCCTCTCCCGGTCCACCCAATCCACCCATGTGCAACATGCAATCTCCTGGAATCTGTCAACTCGTCACTAAATGCAAACCGTCTGGTAATCCGCTCGTCCAGGATGTCTGGATCTTGAACCCGTCCTGCAGTGTTATCGGTGGAACAACGGGTCTTGCTTTGTATCAAACATGGTCCTTGGCTTCGCAGTTGCCGTTTGTGATTGTGTTGACGGGAAATAGTCCGACGGCGTCCCCTAGCTTTGCTTATGCGGGTGGTCATTATGGAGTTGGTGGTACGGATGGGGGAAATCCGGGTTGGTGGTGTGCAATTGAGGGAGATGGTACTTATGATTGCTATGCAGCATTCAAGTGTTAGGGTGGTGAAGGACTGAACGTACTTGGTGGGAAGGGGGCGAATTTGCTTTAGAGACAGTGGTTTGCTGAATACGATGGGATGCGATGACATTTTGGTTCTGGGATGCAAGGGGCTAGAAGATTTAAGTTTCCTATGAATGTACTCCCGGTGAGCTCATATCAGGCTTATATCTAAACCCCCGGTTTGAATTTGGCAGGAGGGCGGCGATGTGTTGACCGAGCTTGCTCATAGTTGGAATTTGATAGGAAGTGTATTTCATATCGAGACAGCCATTAGGCTGATAACAATAGATCCTATTATAAGCATTTTCTTTCCAACAAATGCGACGATCTCATTTCAGAATGTGCTCTAGTCCAGTACTGACTGACAGGAACGAACAATTTAGTCAATCGTAGAGATCTGAGATATCGCTCACTAGAGCATCTCTTCCAAAAGATATACCAAGATAACATAACCCAGGGCAAGACTGACCAGGAGTTGGCCCTGGAACTTAGAAAGATAGACTACCATTGTAATTTGTGAAGCTTCCAAACCTGCTTGTCACTAGATCACTCTGGAAAATTCTGCAACCCCTGTAACCCCTGGATGATTTCGCGAGAACAATATCGGATTTTGGACTAAATAATGGAGTTGAAGTGCGGGGATCCTGGAATGATGATTGTAACTTATGTTAATCGGAATTTCTCTGTATAGACAATCGCTCGCAGCAGCATTTATCAAACTAAATACAGTGAAAGAAATTGCCGAAAGTCTCCAGGTTTCTTAAAGGAAGGCGAAATGAATAAAGTACTAGGTATATACTCGAGTATACAGCATTATATTCGTAAGTTGTTGTAGGTACTCATAGCATTTATTTGACATCAAGCATCGAAAGGATCGACGCTGAATACTAGCGAATGATTTCGTAATTGAAACTAATATATATTAATAATACCGGTATTGTTGAAGGGGTGGGTGGCTCAATGGTTTCGGGAAAAGGCAACTAGAAACAAGCACTTCTTCATCCTTCTTCATAAGTGCTTCTGAGTATTCTTATTCGATCTTGTCGCTTTTCAGAGTTATTTATTATCCTAGGGCATTTCATCATATTTTATAACTTGGAGAGAATTGTACGAAAGCGAACATCAAGGCTGAGAATCCGTGATACGAGTACATACAGCAAGAGGTCGTCGAAGTTGTCTTTGTCTGTCGTCATAATTCACCAGAAACCCAACTTCCAATCTCCAAACCCATTTATTTCTCTTCCCTCCTTTCGCTCTACCAGCCATGCCTCTACCGTTTGAGATTCCACGGCGGCGCTTTATGCGCATAGCAAACAGCAAGTACATTTACGGCCGAGTTGTGAGTTCCGTGTGCCTTCCGTTTGAAATCTACTCCATGATGGATTTTCTAGTAATCTTAGGGCGACACCACTTTTTGAATTTATAAATACTGATACCTATCTACACACAGCCTCTTATTCACACAATCATTTTCCTCATTGAACTCATAATGGTCGGAAGACTTACCGCGAAATTCAACAGCTACTATGCTGCCCGCCCAGTACTCACCATGATGATTACGAACGCAGTACTTGGAGGTATAGCAGATACAGTGGCACAATCCATAACAGCTGTGAGACTAGCCGCAGTGCGAAAACAAGGAGGAGTGAGGAAGGACGATACATTGGCGATAGAAATCCACGAATTGGATAGGAAGAATCCGTTCAACGATCGTGATCTCATCCCAGATTCCAAGATCCTGCCACCACCCTTTGACTTCGAACGATTGACTCGGTTTATGGCGTATGGGTTCGTGATGGCGCCTATACAGTTCAAATGGTTCCAATTTTTATCGAAGGCATTTCCAATTACAAAATCAAGCGCTTTCGGACCCGCACTCAAGATGGTGGCAATGGATCAATTGGTCTTTGCACCTGTCGGTATGATACTCCCTTGACAGTGTTAATATCAAGTCGACTGACAGTTTACAGGCATTGCCAATTTCTTTACCGTCATGACCGTTGCAGAGGGTGGAGGGAAGAGGGCAGTTGTACAAAAGCTGCGAGATATGTATCTACCAACACTCAAGGCCAACTTTATGGTCTGGCCTTTGGTACAGATTATTAATTTCCGCCTCATGCCGCTTCAGTTCCAATTAGTAGGTCCTTTATAACGGATATATTCCACAAAGCCTTATTTACTAACCACATCTATAGCCATTCGTTTCAACCGTGGGGATTGCATGGACAGCTTATCTCTCCTTGTCGAATGCCGCAGAAGATGCCATGGATGTTCGATCAGCTCCGGTATCACCCAATATCAGATTACTATAAGCTTAGACCCGAATATGGGATGGGAAGGCAGGAACGAGCCGGAATCAGCGGCATTGGGAAAGGATGGAGTTCTAGGTCTATGATTTTTGGTCTGGATAGGTCATACTGGATAATATATCTACGAGTTTCTTTTATCATACCTGGTTGGGACATGGTTGGGACATGGTTGGCACATTCAAATGGTGTTTGGCGTCAAATTTGGGAGGCGGGTATTACAATTCTCTTGAAGATCACAGATATACAGATCAATCCAGCTAAATCACAATTCCATTACCAGCGATGAAATGGTTTGATTCTCTGGATTATTGAGTGCCATTTGGTGTTTCCTGTATACAAAGGCCTCACTTCATACTCTCTTTGAGCATGCAAACGACAGTTCGGAAGAGGTACCCTAGTACATATACATATATTAATTGAGCTCAAATAGGTTACAAATTATAGACTTTATAAAATGTTAATTTTTATCTTTCAAAACTCTAAGTAGATATCAGTATCTACAAAAGCTTCATAACTGGTGCCCTCTTGAATACCGGTAACTCACTCGTAAATTGCTTAGAATCTGATACAAAAGGGTCACGGTCACTCCGACAAGCTACCGAGGAAGCTCCCCAAGAAAAACACCCCACCATGATAGAGGGGCATTTATCAAATCTCAACTCACGTCCCCTTTGCTTTCACTTCCACTCCCACTTCTTCTCAACCAAATTCCAAACCAATCCAACCTCTTAAACAAAACAATAAGAAGTCTATTCCAGATCTTCTTCCTTTCAACCATTAACTAAAATTTCGAATCGATTAATTTGAAAAGATGTCTCTTTCAAACAAGCTTTCTATTACCGATGTGGAGTTGACGGATAAGAGAGTTTTGATCAGAGTAAGTTTAAAGTCCTGCCCTTCAATCCTCATCTTATGTTATGTTCTGTTGAGCGTGTGTTGAGCACTCTCAATGTTCAATATCAACTAGAACGTTTAAATGTCGTGTCAAGGACACTAAAAAACGGCACCTAAATAAGGGCGAACCTGACTAACCCTTATCCGTTTCCACTAGGTTGATTTCAACGTCCCCTTAGACTCCGATAAAAACATCACCAACAACCAGCGTATTGCCGGAGCCGTCCCAACTATTAAATACGCCATCGACAATGGCGCGAAATCCGTTATCCTCATGTCCCATTTGGGACGCCCAGATGGAAAAGTCAACGCCAAATACTCATTAAAGCCAATAGTAGCAGAGCTTGAGAAGCTCTTGGGAGGCAAGAAGGTCGAGATGGCGCCAGACTGTGTAGGAAAGGAGGTCGAGGAGATCGTCAACAAGGCTTCCGGGGGTCAAGTCGTGCTACTTGAGAACTTGAGATTCCATGCTGAGGAGGAGGGAAGCTCTAAGGATGCTGAGGGAAAGAAGGTTAAGGCTGATAAGGAGAAGGTGGAGGAGTTCAGAAAGGGTTTGACTGCTTTGGGTGATATTTATATCAGTGAGTTTTCTTTTTTTCTACTCGTGGCGGAATGTGGCTTTCATTGCTCAGCTTTGGGGGAAGGAGTGTACATGTGTGTTTCAGGAGAACGTTTTTTTTTTTACATCTATGGCGCAATATGTCTTTTAGTCATGCAGCATCAATCTCAATACTCAAGAGGCGGGCGAGATATGCGAATTTCAATAGCTAACAGTTACAAGACGATGCATTCGGAACCGCCCACAGAGGTCACAGCTCAATGGTTGGTGTTGATCTTCCACAAAAGGCCTCTGGATTCCTCATGAAGAAGGAACTCGAGTACTTTGCCAAGGCATTAGAGAACCCTCAACGACCATTCTTGGCCATTCTCGGAGGAGCCAAGGTTTCTGATAAGATCCAATTGATTGACAACCTTCTCGGCAAAGTCGACAAGCTCATTGTTTGCGGTGGTATGGCATTCACATTCAAGAAGACCTTGGAAGGTGTCAAGATTGGAAACTCTCTCTTTGACGAGGCTGGAAGCAAGACCGTTAAGGATCTCGTTGAGAAGGCCAAGAGGAACAATGTCGAGCTTGTCTTGCCAGTTGACTACATCACCGCAGATAACTTTGCCAAGGATGCCAAGACTGGCACTGCTACTGACGAAGAGGGTATTCCAGATGGATGGATGGGACTTGACTGTGGAGTTAAGAGTATCGAACTCTACAAAAAAGCCATCAACGAGTCCAAGACTATCCTCTGGAACGGACCTCCAGGAGTCTTCGAGTTCGAGGCTTTTGCCAAGGGTACCAAGGCAACTCTTGATGCCGCTGTGGATGCTGCACAGAGTGGAAAGATTGTTATTATTGGTGGTGGTGATACCGCTACTGTGGCTGCCAAGTACGGTGTTGAGAGCAAGCTTAGCCACGTTTCAACTGGTGGTGGAGCTTCTTTGGAATTGCTCGAGGGCAAGGACCTCCCAGGTGTTTCTGCTTTGTCGAGTAAGTAAATTTGGAGGTCACATTAGTTGAATTGATTCGGTTCTGTTCTGATAGGAAGTCAGACCGTTCAAATAAGTCCAATCTATAGGGAAATTCAAGAGCAGTGGTAGTATATGATAAACTCAAATCACAAAGGGATACTCGGAATGACAACAAAAATGAATAACGAAAACATTATTATAGAAATGCAAATCATGATCATCTCCATGGAATGCAATTCATCTTCTAGTCATTTGTACTGCGATGTGCTGTATGTGATATGATGTTATGTTATGCCCAAAAAACTCCTAGTAGAATGAATATCGCCCAAACGAACAACATGTTCCCCACTCATCTCATCTCATCTCATCTCTTCTTGTTTGCTTCAACCTTCTTCAATTCTTCCCTAAGTGTCAGGTAGGTGGTTAGCATTGAAATAAGCAGGTATGTGAAAATAAACGGGAGATTATAGATTATCAGAATGTAAAATAAAGTGGAAGTGGAAATAAAATGTGAAATGGAAATGGAAATGGAAATAGAATACATACTTCAATTGCGCAGAGAAATCCTCAGATGTATCATCGTCGTCCCAGCTCTCTTCCCATAAATGTGTGTTGTCGCCGGGTACTTCGGTTTCTTCTTGGCTCCAGTCTGGAGGGGGGGGTGCGTGGGTTAGCTTTGGGTTTGGGTTTGGGGTTGGGGTGATTTGGGGTTGTGGATATATGAGTGGATGGGTAGGTCTTGTTTGCATGTATATGCTAGCTTTCTGTGGGGTTGTATTGAAACACAGGGGGGAGAGGGGGAGTAACGCCGTAGATTGCGGATGTATATCTCGGGATGGCTGATAACTCTGGAAAATATCCCATGGGAGACCCCATCGCATCGAGCTATGCTATGCCATGCGCTCTTCCTCATCATCCATATGGTATGGTATGGTATGCCATGCCAAATACGTTCAACGGCATCAGATACCATCGCGCAATTGTGCTCATCGAGTGGAATTGATGAACCGCGTCTCACACGCCTCACTTCAGTGCAGTGCGCTGCGCTGCTTGACTCTATGTCGTGATCATCGCATACATCACTTGAGCCGCTTTGAGATCGCACATGCAGACGCAGACACAGACACATATCAATCCAGCTTGTACGATCTGTCTCGCTGCGAACGCAAATACCAATACCATATAGTATGATGTGGAATCGAATGGAATATAGAGAAAAGACAGAAAGATAAAAATAAAACGTACTCTCAACAGGGAAATCCTCAAACTCATCATCTTCTTCTAATGCAGCAGCAAGCTTTAAATCTTTAGTCGCGTCGCCGCTGGGTTTGTCGGTGTTGCTGTTAGGGGCTTTGGCCGTGGGGGCGGCGCCGGAGTTGGGTGCTGCGGACATGGTGGGTGAGGATGTGTGGTTGTATTGAGGATGTGTGTGTAGTTTAGGATATCGGATATCTATTCGGATCGTGTGGTGGTTGTGATTGTAGTTGTAGCTGTTCAATCGTTGTGTATGTAAATAGATTGGTGATTGTGATTAATGTCTGTATTCTGTCTGTAACTCCGTATGATTGTTGATCCGAAATCCTGGGTAGTTTAAGCTAGTTACTAAGAAAGCTTAGCACTTTGAATATCGATCAGCCTCTTTTTAAGCCTGGGTCTAATACTCACTAACAAAATGGATGACGGCTGGCTGATGGCTAGATCCCAACTACTAGCTAATGGTATTACTTGAGTCTTCATATTTTCTTTCTTTTCTATAGATGGATGTAGTATTGTGAATAAGATCTATTGAATTTTGTACTATCATAAAGAAGATCTTTCCCTTTATATTTCTTAAATTTTTTTCAGTTTCCTACTTGATTATATACTACAATACTCGTAAATATCATCATTGCCCAAATTCACTGCCCCCGAATTCTCCGGACACCAGGCTTTCGATTCAACGTCGTTTCACCAACAAAATAGAGTATATCTGAGGGGACTTTGACCACCTTTTGGAGCTTATCTTAATCTCTGATTGTCCCTGAGCATTGAAGATACAAGCACCTTATCTGACGCATACAAAAGTTCCATGGTCCACTTCTTAAAGTTACCTAAGGTTTCGAAGACCTCCTCAAGTACATACGAAGAGTAGGACTACACATATACACGCACACACACACCCAAATACATAAAAACAAGTTGGCACGATGAGCAGGTGGTTTAGATCTGCCGCAAAGGCAGTACCTAATATGGTGGGAGAAGACGAGGAACAACACTTGAGGGATGTCGAGGCTGCAATGTTGAGGCTGTTGAATGATGACATTGAGGAAGCGGACAAGTTATTGAAGAAACAGGACTCTTCATATCATCATCTGGGGAGAGGAATTTCTGGATTCTTATCTGCAATGATGGGAGTTGAGAAGGATTTACTGAAGGAGGCTGCCGTTATTTTACAAGAGGCTGAGAATAAAAGTTGGGAGGACATGAAGAAAGCCCAAAAGGAATCGAATGCTTTTCAATCAAATATATATCCGCAAGGTACGGAGTATCTCTTGTGCTATTCAGTGTAAGTTTCTTCTCCAGTGGCAAATGAAGAATTGGAGCTGATACGATGTTTGGTAGGGCTCAATTGACGAGTGCAATCACTGCAGTTCTCAGCGGAAGTATCACAGAAGCAGTGAAGGGGTTTTACAAATTGAGAAAGGCATATCTTACACTAGATGGAATATTGGAGATAGAAAACAAATACCTGGAGAAGATGGCCAGCTCAAGTACAGTTTCTCTTGCCTCTAGACCCCCGAGCCGAAAAAGTACAACATCAGCAATTACTGTTGATAAATTAGCACATCAAACGGCAGATCTCTCGGTAGGAGACCTTGATGAAAAGATGGACGATGATAGTGTATTTCCGGATGTCTCGAGACCACCTTCACCCCCCTCGGTAATGAATCCCTATGATATTGATCCAGAGCTTGCGGCAAAAGTATTTACCAATCGAACGGATATCTTCATACATTCTGGAGTTCGATTATGTTGCGGTCTTCTACTTCTTGTTTTCTCCATGATCGAAAATCCGGTTTTCAACAAAATATTGTACATTGTAGGATTTAAAGGGGACCGAGAACGTGGCACCAGACTGTTGTGGCAAGCAACAAGATATCAAAATTTTAACAGCGCCATTGCTGCTCTCGCTCTACTTGGATTTTACAACGGATTAGTTGGATTCTGCGATATTCTACCCACGGATGATGCGGCTGACGATAATCTTACGGGGTACCCGAAACAGAGATGTGAGGCGCTACTGGCTGAGATGAAATCTCGACATCCCGAGTCTAAGTTATGGAGACTGGAGGAAGCTCGTATGTTGGCCTATAACCAAGATTTGAAAGGTGCCCTTGAAATTTTGGAAGATAACTCCAAGAGTAAGATGAGACAAATTGCTATGATTAATACATTTGAGATGGCTCTGACTACAATGTTCGTCCATGAATATCAGAAATCAGCCACGGCATGGATCAATTGTAGCGAACAGAGTGCTTGGAGTCCAACATTGTACTTTTACATGGCCGGTGCTTCATATGTCGAGCTTTACCGAAACACACGACTCAGCGATCCTGCGGCAGCTAAAGTTCACAAGAAGAAGGCTATTGAGTTTCTCCTCAAGGCGCCACCCCTAGCGGGTAAACAGAAAGTCATGGCTAAACAACTCCCCTTTGATATCTACATTGTCAGCAAAGTTGGGAAATGGGAACAAAGAGCCAAGGAATGGGGTGTGGATGTCGTAGATGCAATTGGGCCAAGTCCATATGTTGAAATGATATATTTCTGGAACGGGGTGAAGAAGAGTGGGTCGGTGGAGTTGGAAAAGTGTCTGGATCTTCTCAAGGACGAAAGAATGGCCTGTCCGGATAAATGCATTGATGATGAAGATGATGCGGCTGTTCATATCCTGCTTCGAGGATGTATGTTGAGGAATTTGGGAAGGTATGAGGAGGCGAGGACAATTTTGACCGAGAAAATTATCGATTCTGAAAGGTACTTTCCCCTCATTTCGATCTCAAATCTGTTTTTTTTTAGATGACACAGCTAACTGAATTTAGATATACTCGTGGCGCTCTCCGAGATGACTGGGTTCTTCCATCCGCCTATTATGAAGTAGCAAGTTGTTCCTGGGACGAAAAGGATATTTCGCCAGCGGGAGTATCGTCAGAGGGCAAAGTATCAGAGAAGAAAATCCTAGAGCATCATAAAGAAAAGGTACTAGATTGCGAAGAAAAGTTATTAAAGTTGCATAGTTGGCCTCAGACTTATGTTTTTGAGGCAAGGATGGGTTTTAAGATTAGTACGAGTTTGCTTACTGTTAGGAGGCATAAAGGATTGATGGGGTTTTAGAGACGAATTCTAGAGATCTGGAGATAGATGGAGGATGGGCTGGGGTCGGATAGTAAATACACAGAAGTGGAGCGAGACATGGAAAGAAGAAGTCTTTCTCATTAGATTGGTACTTATAGATAGACGAGGTTGTCTTCCATTTGGTTCAGGAGTTTATGGTTGGGTGGTTGGGTGTTAGGTGGCTGGTTTGGATGGACGGATGATTGAATGGATGAATGGATGACTGATCATGATATGGCAACGAGGAAATGGATTCGGATCAAGCATGGATGAGGTACAAATGATCACTTTGATCAATGAGCGAGCTTGAAGATTGATAGATAGATAGACAGATAGATGTTTATAAGATGAGATGAGAGATGTATAAAATTTTATATATAATACTTGAGTACTCGAGTAGTAGTAGTAGTAGTAGTAGTATTAACGAATACTTTTACTCGAGTAATAACTAATTTTCTTATTAGTATTTATCTAATATTATATAGATATTTTTCATTCTATTTTCAAAGATTTAAAAGTTGAACTCACACTTTCAAGTTCTTTCTCGATTCATACGAGTAGTTGATCTGAAAAAATAAATATAAGAATGAATGAAATATCAATTGACTACTAGTATAGTATAATGATTATAAGAGTAAAATTTCATTCATTTGATTATAAATTTATAAGTGTAGTGAACTATATATAGACTTCTACTCGAGTAATGTGTTTTGAACTCTGTCCGATAAGTATTAGTGCACACACAGTACACGGTGACTATAAATAGATCGATCGTCCTATAGTATCCTACCCCATCCCATCATATACAACGCCATCCCATACAACGCCATACCACGCAATGCACAGTACCCTGTTATCATATCGACGATATATACATATAAGATTCGAGTCCCGAATGATTGCTGATTCAAATATTATATTATAATATGAAAGGATAGGATAGGATAGGATGCACTAAAGCGCTGCATCTGTAGCTATGCATGCATATGCGTATGCGTATGCAAATGCGTATCCAAAAACATTCATGCGAACTTTGAAGAGACACCACACTCAGTATTCAACCCCGAGATTGATCCATAGTGAGGCCATGTGCTGGCCGGGATGTGGGTGTCGTTGTTGTGGATTTCGTTGTTCTCGATGTAATTCCATTGGTCGTAGTCGTGGTGTTCGTGGGCATTGGGGTTGTTGTGTAGTGGAATTCGCCGAAGATGCAGGTATGGGTGTTGGGTTTGACTCATTTGAGTCTTGAGCAGCCACATCTCTTGTGATGACGGTCGTGGTCGAGACGGTCGAGACGGTCGTGATGGTCGTGGTGGTCGTTGATGCTTGTGCCATACCGACGTTTGGGATGGTCCTAGTTGTGGTAGTTGTGGTGACTGTTGGTTCTGGCACCATATTAACGCTTGGGATGGGATTGCGGGCCCGTGATGGTAATCTTTCATTACTGGAGTCATTTTTAGTCGAATGGTTTTGCTGGCCGCTGCGTTGTTCCATTCTTCTTCTTTGATCGCTTGCTGTCATGAATGTTGTGTGGGGAGGAGGTGCGTCCATTATAAGGTATTTTGATGTATCCTTGAGGTTTGGATGAAGTGGTATGGGAAGAGATGAGAATTGAATTTTGTTGTGGAAAAACTTTTCAAGGTAAACCAAGGTAATCCTTAGTAGTTCAATTCGTCAAACTTACCTAGCTCCTGCTGGCGCCACCGAATTGAAGGGATCTAATTACATTCATTAATCCTAACACGGTAAGCCGATTGAGATTCAAGTTTTCTTACACTTTTGAACAGCTATGAAGAATGCGAATTCAGGCATATAATGTTATTCCAAGAATTTTATTAATTGAAATTATATCGAATATGTTAGCTGAATTTTTCCTTCTGTTCGATAGTCTTGAAGCGTGTGTAGTCACATGGTAGCACCCTAGTACTCGAGCTAGACCCAGTTAAACCCAGATGACGGAGCCGGTACAGAGCCTCTTGAAATCTGTACTTGCAATCTGTCCAAAGCTGATCTTAGAAGGTATTTTGCCATACCGAAACGAAATATTGGCTAGGGTCCCCGTATGAAATAGTACCATCAAGCTCCTACCTAGTACCTTGCAGCTTTTCCCACGCCGGTATTCTTAACAATTCGAACTGCGATCCAAGGTAGAGAGTTTCTTATACCCACTTGGATTATTGGGAATGTTTGCAATGCTGAGTTCATTCGGATCACTAGACCATATGCAACAATTTACAGCATGATAAAATCTTAGGGTCGTCTTTAAACGGATGGTGTTGTTATATGAAATAAGTCACGATTCTCTTCGATATGATGTATGTTTATTTCTCTTCCAATGCCACTGGTTCTCATGAACTTTGCCGTCTACATCCACCTGCTTAGCCAGACTAAAGTATCTAACGCTTATACTGACTGGTACTGAAAAGGGGAGCTTCGAGAAGGGGGGTTTAGCGGTAGGAACTAAAGCACTGTAAAATCCGTTCCCGGACCCAGGAGTAGCTAGCCAATCTTCAATATCAGCCAGGTAGACGAGCATTTAAGCAAGCAAGGTTCCTACAATATTTACCAGGTCGTATTCTCAAGCAAAATGTCCCCCGCATGCTATTCTTCACCTCATTGCCGACATAAATAACCTCTTTCAGAGAAGGCCTCAATATTTTTATTTCAAAGTGTAAAATGGAGATCCGTCAGAATACCCGATTTCGCAAAAGTAGAAATCGAATACGGCGATGTGTAACGAGCCTCATTTTCTGACTGATTTTGATTGGAATAGATGAGATGAACCTGGTCAACTTGTGGTGTAGATAGGCTGGGTGCGGTATAGACAATCTGACTGTGAATAGAGATTGCAATGGAGGGTTGGAGATATGAAGGCATGTTTTTCAAGAGCGGGGTACCCAGTATCCAGAGATGCTTGGTGTCGCATGGAAGACTGTGGAGTAGAATGAAGACTGTGGAGTAGAATGGCAGATGTGGTTTAGACTTTAGATATGAATCTAAGAGACAAACCTGTGAGCATCCGGCCCGCTATAAGTTGCCGATTCGGTTTCCGGTTGTCAACCGATCCGCTATGTTCAAGATGTGCCATTTTGATGGCCGCTCGGTCAACCTCGGTGAAGTTGTGGTGAAGGTATTGCTGGAACATGATGAGGTTCAAAGTTGCCATGCCGATTTCCATTCCCGTTAAGCATAGATAACCTCACGCTGCACGCATTGTCTGCGAATTATTAGTTTGTAGTATAAGAAATAATCTATGGAAAGGAGGTAGTTGTCTCTTGCATGGTCTTTCAAGAAATCGGGTCGATTTTGGCAAAGAAGGAGACCTTCTGGAACCAACAGAAAAGCGATCCTAAACTCTTTTCGACCAATAGGTGTTATCGAGGTTCTTACAAAGAGCCCGAGCAACACATTGCGAGGTCTCCTATCCAATCTTGTAGTTTATTCATCTAACCAGAATATGACGGAAATGACCCTGAAAAAGGTGTTTTTTCAGGTGTGCAGGCGTATGTCAATCTGGTAGAGCCACGGAAGCAGCGAGACTCTAAAATCGGCAGAGTCTTGGCCCAAGTTCCAATAACTCCCCAGCAAATATCAAAGGGAACACAATATCCATAGCACTTGATGAGCTATAGAGCGTCGTGACGCACACCGCGACATCCACCCTAGAAGGGGCTGCTCTCGAAGCCTTGTAACCGGATCATTGATTCGCTGGTTCTGGAGTATTTGCCTGGCTTGGATGTTCTTTATCGCATCACGGAGGTCAGAAAAACCACAAGAGCATAGCACTGTACTGTCGAAGCACTGTACTGTCGATTATATCTATCATACACCGGTACAGACAATTCTGAGGTTTCCTTGTTACTCAGTACAAAAAAACTCTGATAACTAATTACTGTAGGGATCTGTGCATACGGTCTAGGCTACATTAAATCTAAAGATTACGTATTCAATAAGATCAGAACTTATATCAGGAATAGCCGAAATATTGGTATACGATATGTATAAAAAATAATCAAGATTTCGATATTTAATTAGAAAACTTTTATGATACCACTCCAAAACTACTTTACTTAAATCTGAATTTCATCAAATTACCCTTATCTAAGCACTATCTCCACCTCTCATTGCCTTTACATCTTTAAAATGTTATATAGACCACAATTAGCGGTAAAAGTCGCTACTGTTCTATTCCGAATCATAATTGAAATTGTGGCGAGTTGTATAAGGCGGTGAGGGCGGAAGCGGAACTAAAATTCACCGCCCACACTGTTTTCCTCCCCTACAGACGTCCCGTCCCGCAGAATCCCTCTCATAAATAAAAAACGGGTTTGGCTTCTGAACATACAATTGAGGACCGTTTACTAGAATGTCATTTTCAAGTGGATTAACATATTAGTAACCCTAAGTTGCAGAGTTCTCTTCATACTACTAATATGCTCATAGATTATATCTTCAAAATCACATCGATTATTTGAACGATTGCATAACTATCTGATATCTCTAAAAAATGCTATACCCGCGATGTTCGAGGATCAAGTCTTATGTAACATCAAACGAAGAGCTTAAAACCTCCCGGGACGCCCTTCTGGAATAATCCCTCTGGATCATACTTCTTGCTCACGTTTTGCAATTTTCTTTTGTTCTCAACACCGTATGATGAAATGGGGTCTTGAAAACTAGCGGCGTAGTTCATGAACACATAATCAACCGACGAATTCTTCGCAACCGCTGCCGCTTTGATGTTTTCCAATGCGCCTCTCATTGTTTTGAAAATCGTTTCATCATCACTCTTGTTCTGCCAGGTTGTGAGAAGCAGAATCGAAACTAGTGGTCCATCGGAGGGAGACAATCCCAATGAGTTTCCACCATCCGCGACGGACTTTTGGAGCAAGGATACAGGGTATGGCTGGAGAGTTAGAGAGCCGATGAGTCCCGCGATGGACGTGATGTTCGAGAGTGCAGTGGTGTAGATCGTGGATGCTTCTTGAAGGGTGGCATTATCTGCTCTGATCACTGTGTTCATATATGACACTCTGATACAAGTCAGTTCAAGAGACGTCAACCTCAACCTCGGCGAGCGAATCGTGTGAGTGATTCAAGCAAAAAGGGAGGAAGGGAAAGCTTACCTTTGGCTTGTTTGACCATCAGCAGCTTGCTCCGAAGCAGCAGATGTCAGATTCAATATGCGCAAACTGTTCAGCGCATCAATCTGTGGCTGGATTGCGGCGAATGGTTCAAGAACAGGAGGAGTTTCGGTGGCTTCCTTCGTGTAGTATATTTGATTTTGACATGCGATCATACCGAAAGCGGCAGCATAGCCAATGCTAATGAGCTGTGTCTCCACTGAAGCATTTGGTTTCTTGATCTCGTTGACTAGAGCCTCGATTTGGCCGGGGAAGCTCGCCGGAAAATAGTATACACTGCCGCCCCAGAACGGTCCTTGTTGAAATGTCTTCATATCAAATCTCGTAACGATACCGAAGTTGTTCGAGCCGCCTCGAAGCGCAATCCAGAGATCGAAATTCTCAGAAGCGTTGGCATTTACAATTTCGCCAGACGCTAAAACAACTTCATAATTGACGACATTGTCGCTCACAAAGCCTTCGCGAGAGGAAAAAAAGGAAAGACCACCTGTGGAAAACTGTTAGTGGACGTTTTATCTTGATTATTTAAGTGTATGCATACCTTCCAAGGCCAAGCCTCCAATACCACCATTTCCGGATCGGCTTCCAGTCACACCAAGTCCCTCAGCTGCTAGCTTCTGGTAAACCGTTCTCCATCGCTCACCTGCCGCGATTGAGACGATGCCATCTTTACACTCCACTCCAGTCAGATTTCTGAGGTCAAGAGTAATGCCATTCTCGATGTTGGCACTGCCTGGAAGTGGTACCTGTCCAGCACCACGAATAGCAAATGAAAGATTACCGCTCGCCACAAATGGTCTAACTATGTGGACGAAAGCTGCAACCTCTTCTTTGGTCTTGGGTAGGAAAATGCAGACTGGTGTGATATCGCTTTCCAAGGCTGAGAGGTATGAACCATTCAATTCGTCAAACTCAGTTGTGTTCCGCACCACAAGCTGTGTGTTGGGAAAGGCATGACTCAGGACGGTGACTGCTTTGGACATGATCTCTATTTGAAGGCGTTTAAAGACAAGTCGTAGTGAAAGAGTAGAAAGTAGCTTGAGTATGGGGATATCAATGCAAGTAGGGACGACAGAAGACCTTTTAAAAGAATATGATACAGGCAGGATTCTTGGCAAGCGGGCTTACACTAGTGAATGCGAGGAAGTGGCGCGGTTGCAGTTGTCCAATGACAAGCTTGATTGGTAGTGACATAGCAGTCGTTTGGAGTTGATTAGCGTTGGTTGGTAATTTCATATCAAACGAAATGAAGATGAAAGCCATCATTTGCCGAATCGAGTAATTTCTAAGATAAGAGTTATGAATATTCAGGGTGATACTCCTAAAATTTGTGGTTTTTTGTAACTCACTAAACCGTCAAAGGGCGAAGAGCGGAGCTAGCTGATTCACCTGTACTTCTATAGCATTGCGCCTTGTAGTCAGTACCTGCGAAATAGAAACAAACCAACAAACCAACAAACCAACACATTATACATACCAATACTTTCATTCACACATCACCAATAGCTAAAAATATAGTCTCCGACGCAAAGGCCATGGAGGACCCATCTGCCCCTATGCCACCACGCGCAGCACCGGCTCACACGTTTCGATTCTGGGGTATCTTCATCGCTCTTTGCCTTCTATCCTTTATTTCTGCCCTCGATGTTGCCATCATCACGACAGCTCTCCCCTCCATCACTGCAGATATCGGTGGCTCCAAACTATATGTATGGATCGCCAATTCCTTCGTTCTCGCATCATCTGTATTTCAACCACTATTCGGTCAACTTGCAAATCTCTTTGGTCGTCGCAAGCCCTGATTGCATCAACCGTGTTATTCGCATTGGGTAGTGGAATTGGAGGGGGGGCTACGAGTCCCGGTATGCTTATTGCTGGTCGTACAGTTCAAGGCGTTGGTGCCGGTGGTATCTATGTGCTGCTCGATATTGTGTGATGTGATCTCGTCAGCCTCCAAGAGCGCGGCAACTATTTAGGCCTGATGTTTTCCTGGTCGGGTGTTGCAGCGGCGTTGGGTTCGGTTGTGGGTGGTGCTCTTGCTCAAGCTAATTGGCGTTGGATTTTCTATCTCAACATTCCCATTTGCGGTGCAGCACTTGCTGCTATTCTCTTCTTCATGCGTGTGAAATAAGGCGGATCCAATGTTAACAACGGGCAGAAGTCCAAGTTCTTTCAGCTGGATTATCTGGGAAACCTTATTTTCATCCCTAGCATTATTTCTATTCTTCTCGGCTTGGTAATGGGCGGCATCGAACATCCGTGGTCTTCCTGGCGCATCATATTACCACTCGTTCTTGGTATACTGGGCTGGATTGCCTTCCATATTCAACAACATTTCAGCAGCAACCCCAGGTGGGTAGTCCCTCAAGCATATTATATCCACGTTTAACTCGACACAACTAACTAATTTGTTTTCTTTAGCGTGCCTAGTCGTTTGTTCAGCAACCGCACTTCTGCAGCGGCATTCGTCTTGACGTTTCTCTCGTCTGTCCTGGTTCAAGCCATCTCATACTTTCTCCCCATATACTTCCAAGCTGTTTTAGGCACTACCGTCTTTCACTCCGGCGTGAACTTCCTTCCATTTGCTATCGGTACTCTTGTCTTTGCCACAATGTCCGGCATACTCCTTAGCAAGCTCGGTGCCTATCGGCCTCTTCACGCATCGGCTTTTGCACTCTCGGCCATTGGCTTCGGTCTTTTTACCCTCCTAGATGGAAGCACGTCGAAAATCGCCTGGGCTTTCATCCAATTGATTGCGAGCGCTGGCTCAGGCATGATCCTCTCGATTCTGCTCCCTGCAATCATGGCTTGGCTTCCCGAATCGGACGTCGCATCGGCATCGGCAGCCTATAGTTTTATTCGAACATTCGGATACATCTGGGGTGTCACCGTTGCTTCCATCATTTTCAACGCCGTCTTCAACAAGAACTTGCCCAGTATATCTTCTTTGTCGCTACAGACGGAGCTGAAAGACGGCGCCGCATACTCTTTTGCGAGTCACGTGCACGAGGTTCGTGGACAATACGATGCTAGCGTGTGGAACGAAGTGATCCAGGTCTATGTAAAGAGTCTGAAAGCTATTTGGTGGGTTGGGCTAGGGTTTAGTCTAGTAGGATTTTTTGTAGTTGGCGTGGAGAGAGGTTTAGAATTAAGAAAAGAACTAGAGACAGAGTATGGTATTGATGAAGATAAAAAGACTGCTATACAGGATAATAGCGAAAGTGCTGAGGCGCTTGAACTAAGCTGATTTTCTGGTGTTGGTATGACAGCAGCATGAATTAGGACATGCTAGCTCGAGACAGGAAGTGGAGATACTTAATATGGCCTGCATTCTTTCTTTCTCGGATCAATCATATTAAGCAGTGTGTCTATCTGAGGGATCGTAAAAGCTTTAAATTGTGCTAAATAATTTTGTAATGGAGCTAGAATTCCAATAGTTTCGAGAACCAAGCTTTGGTATTCATGTTTCAGTGAACTTGTCCCCGCGCGCAGGTTCCTAGAGTCTGAACAATTAAACAATTTTTGATTTTATCATGTGCTGTATGTGTGATGGTAAACTGGTAATTTTTCATACACTGGCAGAAAGCCTGAACGCAGGCTCGAAGAAGCATACATGTATGCATGAAAAGATCCAGAGAAAATATAACAAAACCGTTCACCGAAATTCCTAAAATAAACAATTCATTATACCGTCCAATATTGTCGTCATCTCATATTGGTTCATTCATTTCCCTCTCGCGCATGACACCGCGATAATCGTTAGATTATATCATACCACTCAAACCTCGTTACTTGGGTACTCAACACTCCCAATTGCAACGAACTCTTCCTTCAACGCCCTCACACTAACGAATCTACTCAACAGATTCATACTTCCTGCTTTGTCGTTTGTTCCACTAGCCCTCGCACCACCGAAAGGTTGCTGTCCAACCACCGCGCCGGTACTCTTGCAATTAATGTAGAAATTACCCGCTGAATTTCTCAATGCTTCTTCTGCATATCTAACTGCCGCTCTATCGGTCGCAAAGATAGCACCGGTTAGACCATACTCCGAAGTGGTATCCACGAGTTTACAGACCGATTCGAAAGCTTCGGCTGGAGCAGTAGAGTCGTCGTAGACGTAAACGGTAAGAACTGGTCCGAATAGCTCGGTAGAAATGAGAGCGTGTCTAGGGTTGGTGGTTTGGTAGATGGTGGGGTGAATGTAATAACCGGTCGAGTTGTCGTGTTTGCCTCCTACAAGAAGCTCGAGTTCGGAGTCAGATTTGGCATTATCAATGACTCCTGAGAGCTTTTTGAATGACGGTTCGTGAATGACTGGGCCGATGAAATTCTTTGGGTCCTTTGGAGATCCAATTGAAAGCTTCGATGTTTCCTCAACCAACTTCTGCTTGAATTGGGGCCATATGGATTTGGGAACATATGCTCTCGATGTAGCACTGCACTTTTGACCTTGATATTCGAATGCGCCACGGACAGTGTTAAGGGCAGCATTCTCTACATCGGCCGAGGAATGAATAAGATGGAAATTCTTTCCTCCAGTCTCTCCTACGATTCTTGGATATCCCTGATACCTACCCTCGGCAACCCCGTTGGCAATTGATCCATAGAGTTTTCTGAATACGGAGGTACTTCCGGTGTAGTGAAGAGCAGCTAATTGCTTATGCTCTAAAACAACCTTCGTGACTTCGACAGGGTTACCTGGTACAAATTGAATTACATTCTTGGGCAGACCGGCCTCGAGTAAGATGTTATACAACAGCCAGTTGGAAGCAATGGCAGAATCGGATGGTTTCCAGACTACAACATTTCCCATCAAAGCTGGTGCACCTGGCAAGTTACCCGCAATGGCGGTGAAATTGAAAGGAGTAACAGCGTAGACGAATCCCTCCAAAGGTCTGTACTCAAGTCTGTTCCAGACACCAGGTGAATGGTGTTCCGGTTGTTGCGCATATAATTCCTCGGCATATTGAACATTGAATCTGAGAAAGTCTGCCAACTCTGCAGCAGAATCAATCTCAGCCTGCCAAACATTCTTTCCCTGTCCCAACATTGTAGCAGCCATGATTTCATATCTGTATTTGCCCGAGATGAGATCTGCGGCCTTGAGGAAGATAGCGGCTCGGTCTGCAAAAGGAAGAGATTCCCATTCGGGTTTTGCAGCGAGGGCGGCATCGATTGCGGAGGAGACATCAGATGGGGAGGCGTTTGAGTAGGATGCGACCTTCGAGGAGTGATCGGCAGGGTTGAACTGATGGGAGACAGAGGATGTCTTGATCTGGATATATTATCAGCCTTGATCACCGCATTGTGAGGAATGAACATTTACTGACCTCTTTACCTCCAATTACAAGAGGGACTTCCAAAGGAACCTTGCTCTCCAATCTCTCCAAAGCCTCATAGATTCCATCGCGTTGTGCGGATCCCTTAGCATAATGATGCTGTGCCAGTTCATCAGCAATCCAGATCTCCTCTACACTCCCCAGTCTTTAAATGATACTCACATTCGGCTCATTAACCACCTTTGGGATCTTAAAGTTTGCAATAGTCGCCATATTGCATCGGTTTCCTGTACTTGTGATGATGGTACTGCCCACTGCGCTGGTGCGGGGTATGCGTATCGAAGCTTCACATTTGTGAGAAGCGATCAATGAACAACGATTGATTGTCTGAAAGCTTCTAGAGCTTTTGATATTTCTTGCGAGCATGATGGATGGATGAATGAAGACTCTGAGCCAAAGAAACAAGGAAAGAAGAATAATGAGAGGATATGCCTACCTCGAACAAAACGGTCGTCGTTGTGTTTGTTTTATGATAATTTATTGATTTAATTTGAAGCCGAAGAACGGACTCTACTCTAGCAGAGATCTATTCGCTTTGTTGCGGCTTTAGCGTAGAGGGGATACTTGAAATATAGAGATGTGGAGTAGCCCCGCATAGATCTAAGCGGATAAGTCAGGAACAAGATATTATACTCGAATTAGCATGGAAGACTTTTCTTCCATAACCGGAGGTGAGAATTTGATTGATCAAGAAGAATTATAATACTCTTGTTTTTGTCGGGTTGAATTGGCTTGAATGTATTCATTGATAATTGAAATTGCAGTTATATCAAGGATATGGATCCGGAGCAGTGTCAAAGCCAATGTTAGTTTTAGCGTCTTCACACCAAATTAGATTTTTCATTTCACTTCACTGTTGGGATATCAATTCTCAATACGGTAGAACAAACATCAGGTGTGAATTCATTTCATCTATCGGTATACAAGTGTGCCAGTGTGATATTATTCGAACTTTCCTCCCAAAGTTTAAGTAGCAAGTCAGCTTGATGCTTAGTTCGCAGCTGGCATAGGGGGGTCCTCGGGTGAAACGAAGGGGGTAACTCACTGTTTTATTCTATTTGTTTTATAAAGCTGGATTCCAAACAATTTATATTCAATATTAATATAGAATGGTATTTTATTTTTTGTTTGTATTCATGTTATATCAGGCTTTTATAAATAAAAACAAATAAAACAAATTAAACGCTTTTAGATAAAGCTTTTATTAATTGAAATTCTTTAAATAATCTTCCCCAATTAATCCCTCCTCCTCACCACCCCCGGAACTAACCACCAAGCCACCATCATACCCCCCAATAATCCCAAAACAACCGGCTGCAAAACCTTCACCCCTCCTCTCCCCTCATCCAACTTCGCCGCCAAAATCCCCGTAACAGCCGGAAATATCGTCCCACCCCCCTGCGCAACCACAAAAATCAAACTCAAAGCCGGTGTCATAATTCTCGAAGGAAGAAGTAATTTCGTTTGCGTGATTGCAGCTGGGAAGAATGGACCGAGGAGAAATCCCATTATGCATACGATGACTATACTGCCGATTAGACTGGAGACTCTCCAATTGATGATTTGGAGGACGATGCAAAGTGCGGAATAGAGGAGGAGCATAGGACGTTCACCGAAGCGATGGGTGGGTTCTATGAGAAGGAGACGGCCGAGTGCGATACCCGTGTAGAAGAGAGTGGGGAGGTAGCCGATTGACGAAGCTTGGATTTCAGAATTGGAAGAGAGGGTGAGGAGGTAAGTGACGAGCCAACCCCCAATGGTAATCGAACTTCCGAGGTGAAAGAAGAAGAATAAACTGATAAGCCAAACGCTCTTTTCCCTCAGAATTTCTGCAATCTCTTTCCATATTCTGTTTCCCCTTATCACACCGTCACTTTCACCACTTTCTTCGCCTTGCACTTCTGCAGTGACTTCGCTATCCATATCATTCTCCCTCTTGATTAATAAATCTTCCCCAAAAGCCCAAAATACCAGCGCAACATTCAAACCTGCAACTCCGGCCAAAGCCCCATAGCTCCAACTCCAGTGGTCCGGTTTGACACTTGCGATGCCCGTCACAGCCAATGGAGCAACCAAACAACCCACGCTATATGCCGCATGCACCACCCCTAACCACCGATGTGCCTTGTCGCCAACCTGAGCTATATACGTGTTTGCCTGTGCATCTTGATATGCTTGACCCAGAGCTGCTAGGCCAAATGTTACAACCAACAATGCCCAGGGCGGTCCCCAAATCCTCAAGCATTGAGCTAAAAGTTGTAGAGTAGCACCTAAAAGTAATATTCCGCCAATCCCGAGACGTAGACGAGTCTGGATGAAGGGTACGCTAATCGCTGCAAAAACCCAGCCGAGAAAAGAGGAGAGATAGAGGAAAGCGATTGATGATGTGGAGAGAGAATAAGTAGTTAATATGTAAGGAACAAGAGAACCTAGACTCCCATCATTGAGACCTGCAGTGAAGAAAGCAAGGATGGATGATGCGAGCTTTAATATCAGGGCAATGTTTGTGGATGATTCGAGAGGAGTTGTTGGTGGATGAGGAGGGGGACGAGTTATGCCATTTTGTGACGATGATCTCGTCTCGGGATCAAGAATGGAAAGGGGGATTTCGGCTGAGGGACACTGGAGGATGGTTTGCGTTTGGGACATGGTGCCGGTGCATGGACGAGCAAAAGAAAAGGCAAAAAAACATACAACAGTGGGGATTCGCTGGTGGTCACCCACCCAACTACTAATCCACCGATCTGAAGCTTGTGTATGGCAGAGCGGACGGGATGCCCAATTCTCTTCAGTCTATGGTCGTATGTATCAGATAACGCTTAACCAGAGCTTAAGTTGTATTATTCCTAGACGACGGAACTCGAAAATGTAGAAATTATGGTATATATAGGACAAGACGGCAGCTAGAATGACGTCGGCTCCTCATCCGCTTGGCGGCCCGGAGTTCCGGGATTAACTCGACTAACTACCAGTGAGGATCTACTCAATTCATAACAGGTCTAATTCTTGGTCGCTTCGAGTCGCTAAGGACAGGAATGCGAAGCGAAAGTGAATAGCAAAATCATTTACTTTGGGGCTTCTTCCAATCATATGTTCTATTTAGCCTGTTGCCTTACTACAAACTAGACTAATTGGATAGAGGCAGAACTTCGGTCAGTCAAGTACAGGACAAGACGGCAGTCAGATTGACGGCGACCTCTCATCCGCTTGGCGGCCCGGAAATCCGTGATTGGACTACCGGTGGGTAATTCTCGGGTGACGGTCAATGAGATTGACGGCGAGTCTCTGATTGGTAGCATTGTTGATATAGGACGTTGAAGACGGGAAAGATGGGAAGAGTGGGAGTACTGGAAAGGAAAACAGTTTGCTTCACATATTTGGTACGCAGGGTCGAGGTGGCCAAATCTCTCATTATCGTGCCATGACGAGGGCCTAGGCTGGCGCATCCACTAGGGATCACCCATTCACAATCATCAAGATCATGAACACACAACTAAAGCTACAGCATCTCCATGCATCCTAACAGAAATAAGAAAAGAGTGGTGCGAAGAGGTCGCCCCGACCAGTGGATCCACCCATACCATTTCCTTAAACACAACAAATAACACACCCACAGAGTAAGTTAAGCAATTTGTTAGGGTTGATAGAAAAATAGTACGAAAAGCAAGAAAAATCAAAACGCGCGTTTCCTTCCGCTTAAAAGAACAACAGGCAAGCGAGATAGCAAGGGGTATGATTAGAGTGGAGAATAGAAAATAAATCTCGTGTATCATCAAAAAGGTGGCCAACCTCATATTTCGAAGCGGAGTGATTTGTTGCAAGCATCGCAAAAGTCTCCTAAATGGTTCCCAAATTTGATGGAGATGTACCATCATCCTCTAAAACAATTTGACGCCGTGCTGAAATACCTAACGTGAGTCATGTCATACAACCTTTTAGATGGTTCTTGGAGACTTGGAATTTCTAGCTTGGAAGTCAGTAAACCTGGGGGAGAATAGTTCAGCAATTCACGGAAAAGGAGAAAGTGGCTGACCCAATATCCACAATGTCATCCACATGATTGCATAATGCCACGAAAAGGTCAAAGAAAAGTTTACCGCCACTCTCCATTTCTGTCTGCATGGTTCCGCTCCTCTTAAATGTCTTACGACATCTGATAATCAAGGCAAGATAATGAGCGCGTAGTCTAGAGTCTGTATCCGGCGTGTTGTCATAAGCATACCGAGCACTACGAAGAATTGTAGCAACCTCAATTCCACTCTGTAGGCCTTGCTTCCGAAGAGCAACGCGCTTGAGTTCCTCGAGACCATACTTCTCCGCAGCGCAGTATATGACTGTATCCTTTAGAAGGTGTTCTCCCACGCTGGATATATAGCTTGTGGCCTCTACCGACCCGCGACCACCAGTATTTTCGGGGTTGGGGGAGTGATCTGCATCCTCGAGTTCCCAAGAGTTTCGGCGTTTGTTGTGAATCAAACGGGGATAATAGTCACCCTTCTGTAAACACATCAGTACTACTGAGATAATCGCTGTGTATTATACATCCACCGGTAAACATACGTAAAGATATTCGAGGACACAGGAAAAGATTTCGGGTTCTTCGTCGGGTAAAGAGATCCTCTTACTCTGCGCCTCGAAGAATTGTCCTCTCATTGCCGTCGAAAAGTACGGCGATAAGGAGAGTACATCCTCGTGCGCCGCAAATAGTCGTCCTTCCTTACCAACTGTAAACGTTACAATTGGAGAGGTCAAGCTACTATTGGGGCAGCCAATTAGCATACATTGACTGCATTCCAAATCAAATATCAGGCAATGAGATCAACCAGCCTTACCTCGCAATGGGCGAGCCTTGATCGAACGACTTCTGCAATTTCGACACCTTCGCGGGATCCTTATTCGATCTCTTTAGTTTTATGTTCTTTTCCACACGATCTTTCGATCTATGCGAACGTTTGAACATGATTGCAGTATGTGTGTATTGAGAAACAATCGATATAAGGGTCTGGAGGGGAAATTGAACGAGTGACGAAATGAGTATTTGGATGTGAGGAGAAGGGGGAAAGGTGGTAGAAATTGACACACAGAAGGAAAGATTGACAGGGTCTCGGAAGAAAGCTCAAAATTGTCCTAAATGACAGTATTGAGATTCTTGAATGTTGGTAGTCGACCCGAATGGTGTGGTGAAGAAAGGAAAAAGAAAAAGGTCGCGAGAGCGCGGTGAGGCCCTCAATATATATAATTACATTAACAGGCTGCGGCCGATCATTTTCTTGGCAGGTAACCATAGATATCGCACACGTGATCCTCGGTCAATCTAATTGAGGCCCTCAATTCCATATCGTGACGAGTCTATTCGTTGCATGGCGGTGATGCCTGTTTGCTGTTTGATGAAGAGTTGCACAGCATTATCGTAACATTAATAAGGTTAGTAATTAGGCTGGTTATTAGCTTAGCGAACCATACAAACCCTACTCAAATAGAACCACCGGCACTGCTAGTTCCGGATTATCTATTTCTGATAACCCGAACAATCAGCCCTGGAACGACATCTACGGATGTCCCAATAGCGCACGTAATAAGGCTATTCCCATATTAGTGAATATCTTCATATTAGCTCAGTTGGGAACTTGCAAGTCCTTTGATTCTTCGATATTCTCAATTTTTTGGAATATCAGACCATCACCCACAACTGCACCTTGAAATTGCTATAGTACCTTACGTGAAATATGGATGCAGGCAAATCAACAATTCCCGACGATGCTATGGTTTACGTGAAGGGGTCATTAAAGCTGGTCAAAGAGCTCAAAGGTTGCCACTTTCGGGTTTCTTGGAATTGTTTCGAGTTTGCGCTGACTGCTACAATTGCTAGGAATGGACTTGATCAGTGCTGTGTCAACAGGAAGGGTGACACGTGGGCCGAACAAGACGATCATTCCAAGGGGATCGTATTACACTGAAAAAGACCTGATACCAGGAGATACTGATCCGGAGGATACTGTCATCCTTTATCAATACGGAAATCGATCCATCAAACGTCTTCCGGATGGTCTAGTACTTAAGTCTGGTCCATCAATACGGCTTGCTGAAGCTGCTGCTATGGATTTGGCCGCCAAACATGGCCTTCCAGTACCAAAATCCCACGGAGTCTGTGAGCCCGATCAAGAAAACGGCCGACGACTAGGTTGGATCAAGATGGACTTTGTAGAAGGCACAGCTTTGGAGGACGTATGGGCGGATTTGAACAAGCAAGAAAAGTTGGATATCTGTCATCAGCTTCGAGACATTTTGATAAAAATGAGAACTATTGAACCCCCAACCCAGGGAACGATTAATTCTTGCGACAACAGCAGCATAAAAGACGGCCGCAATATATCCGACTATCAAGGCGGGCCATTCAAGAACGAGACCGAGTTTAATGAGTTCATTTTGGATTTCGGAGCCCGACCACCAGTTGCACTGGAGCAAGCGATCAGGAATCGAATGCCTACTGGGCATCGTACTGTTCTCACTCATTGTGACTTATCACCGAGGAACATCATGGTGCGCGATGGTAAAATCACGGGACTAATAGATTGGGAAGATGGCGGCTTCTTTCCGGAGTATTGGGAATATGTGAAGTTCTTTGAAGCTTTCACAAAGCATAGAGATTGGAAAGATTACAGTGATGAGATCATGCCGCAAAAATATGACGATGAATTACTGTTCTTCCAGGTACTCCTTCGGTGGCAGCGATCCTGAAGTTCATAATAGAATTTAGACTACTTTGAACCCCGAGGCATACAGATTCCCATCGAAATTTCTACGTTGGACGATATTTGACAGAGATCTTGACAGCCTTAGTGTTTAGATCCAATATGAGCAGTCAGATCATATGTATGTTTTGACGGATGGGAAATGGGAGTATGATCTACGAGTACAGTACGAAATACACACAATCGAATAGTTGTGGATAGTTAATTTTGCCACTACAAACCAGTGAGCGACTATTCATCCATGGATCTTACAAATAATCAACGAAATCGATCCTGAAAGGAGAAGTTCTGGCGTCAGCGAAGTAGCTTACCTGTTCGTTCGCCTAATACTTTCGGTGAATGATACCAATTCACTTCAAAGTCGCCTAATCAACATTCTCGCCATTAGACGCATACGAAGTAGATCTCTCTCTACTCAACATTCCATTTTCTCAATTCGAAGATGCATTTCATTTCGACGTAAAGCGCTTGCTTACTCATTTGACCGATTGGGAATCGATGAACCGTGACCTCCAGTGGGACATTCGCGTCGCGGTTGACTTTCATAATTATCAGTGCAAGAAGACTATCTGCCTAGTGATTTCTCAAAGGGTGAATGCGATTTGAGCTTAGGCAGAGGCCCCTTAATGGTTGCGGAGGGTATATATTTGCTGACAGAGAACGGATATATATATACGAATAGAATAGTTCAGTGATATCGTTTCAATTGAGAACCTTAGACCTAACTCCTATATACGATATACTATAGATACAAGATCCTCGCTGCGAATAATTTAAAGCTGTGTCTTGGATGAGAATATATACCTCCGATCAATATCCAACCGCAAGTACCAATCCCTATGCTAGAATCCATCCCTGATAATCATTCTCATTACTTCTCGCTAAAGTCGCTATGTATTCTGGCATACCGCCGGCCCTATGATCATGTCAGTATTTAGTTTCAATGTCTCAAGTATGTTCAATCATTGAAAGTACAACTGAGGAGAAGATATGTGAGGAAAACTCACCAATTAAGCGGCTCAACCTTTCTCCCCGGAATATTCGCCCCCTGATACCAACTCTTCGCCAAAGGGAAAAGAGATGCATTCCAAATATCACTCATCCTCCTATACCAATCATCCTCCGCCTCAATCTTTGCCTCAAAATACGTGATATTCTTCTCAATTAACCCCTTTAACGTTCCCGCAACATATTCCGCTTGGAATTGTGTACAGCTTGGCCCGTTGGAAAAGGCTGTGGGTGCTTGAGGTCCGTAGAGGAAGAACATGTTGGGAAAGTTATTCAGCGCAATACCCATCGATGTTCGCGTTCCATCTTTCCACTTTTGAGCGATAGTGTTGCCGTCTATGCCGCGAATGTTCAGCTGGGCGAGTGATCCAGTCATGGAATCAAACCCAGTGGCAAGGATTAGGACGTCGAATTCTACTTCTCCTTCTTTGGTTTTGATTCCCTTTTCGGTGACTTCCAGGATGGGCGTTTCGTTTACATCAATGATGTCAACGTGTGGGAGGGAGAAAACTTCCCAGATGTTTTGTTCTAGAGAAGGACGTTTGGTTCCCATTGGATGAGGTGGAACTTCTGGTGCCAGTAACTTTTGCTTCTTGACGTCTGGAACCCTTTTCCACACTGACTTGCGCCAAAAGTTGTAGGCTTCGTCGTTAGCTTTTTGATCATAGAGCATGTCTTTGTAGGCGTTGAGCCAGTAATGGAAACCACCTTGTTCGATCAAGAGTTTATGGAAAAGAGCTTCCCGCTCTTCTGGTGTATCATCAAAAGTTTTTCTATCTTGAAAATCGTACGGGAAACCGGCAAAGGTGTTCCTGGTCTTGGCAAACGCTTCATCGTATTTGCCTTCGGCCTTTTTCTTCTTCTCTTCTTCGGGATCGAGGAGTCGTTGATTCATGGGTAGCGCAAAATTAGGCGTTCGTTGGTAAACCGTGAGATGATTGACGACGGGGCCGATGGTTTGAATCACCTGAATACCACTTGCACCAGTTCCAATTTGACCGACTCTTTTATTCTTCAGGTTGACATCATGCTGCGGCCATATTGCTGTATGGTATATATCGCCTCTGTAGTTACTGAGACCCTTAACCGGGGGTGTGTAACGACGAGATGCGAATCCTATACAAGGAATAAACCATCTACAATATATCTCGGAGCCGTCTGAGCATTCAACCAGCCATTGGTTGCGACTCTTATCAAACTCAGCACCATCGACATGTTTGTCGAATTCGACGTCCTTTTTGACATCCCATTTCTTTTCGATGTGCTCGAAGTACCGACGAAGTTCCTTGCCTCCTGCATATCGCTCTTTGAATGTGAAATCTTCCCATAATTCTTTGTCAAACAATTGGTAGATTGGAGTATCAGAATCGACTCGAGCACCAGGCTATTGGAAATTAGTTTCAGAGCCTCTCTGATGAGATAAATCTAGAGCTCACATAACAATTCCAATACCAGATCCCTCCACTTCTTGAACCTTTCTCATAAATTCTACACTTTAGTCCTTGCTTGCGAAGTCTGTTTGTATTGTTAGTAGTCTGCCCATCAAATTGATGAATAGAACCCACTTATTCAGCATAGTATAGGAGCCAAATCCGGCCCCTACCAGTAGCACATCCACTTCTTCTACCTGTACCGAACCCATGATTATTTGCTTACTCAATTGCTTGCTGTTGAGAAACACTTTTGGAAAGAATTGAGAATGAAGTTGAACTTGGTTCTTATATATGAGAATCTGAAATGATATCTTGAAGTGGCTAGCTGTTATACGACAAAACTCGAGAAAGATGAGCTGAACAAGCTGTGGAAAATGTGGGATATGATGGTTATTTAAACACCTCTGATTTGAAATACGAAGGATAGAGGAGGGGTTGTATTCCGTCCTCGTTAGTACGCCAAATATCCCACTCACATGCATGAATATTGAAAGCTCAATTTCTCAAGCCATTTGAGGACTAGATTCTCATCGGACAGTGGATAATTAGATCACAACGACTCGTACTCGATTACATACGAGTGATTAGATGTCTGGAAATAGGAAATAGAGCTCAAGAGGATGTGTATATCTTCATTGATTTGTCCAAAATTAGGAACTAGACCTTAGACAATTGCTTGGAACAACACTATCATAATACTAAAGCAATAGCAAAGCATGAAGAAGTAATGGAACCGCGGATGTACCTATATCCACATGTGCCACATCAGTGCGGGGTGAGGATCTCTCCCCCCATTGGCGTTTATTTCCGTGGGGTAGTATCGTCTAGCCGTATCCTAGGACGTGCAGTAAGAGTACGACCAACCCCCGCATTTCCTGGATATCATATGGAACTTGATTTGATGGATGAATAAATATCTAAGCCACATAATCACACTTTAATTCCGCACTGAGAGACAACCCTTGATGTCAGTCAGCCATGGATATTAGTTTCAGGAAAGTTTCCCGCCCTCAGTACAAGTAATAGTGGCGGAGCTGTATAAGACTACCCACTTATCAAATGCAAATCATTGATTTTGGTCACTGCAGATAGGAGAAAGAACGTTTTGGTGCTCTATTTTCCGGGCTATGGAATCATGTTTTGTGATCAACTGCTTTTAGAAAAATCCGGGGCCTTTAAAGTATATTGATTGTAGCAAGGACAGATTTCGAAATTTGGTTCGATGTTCGAATTCCCTAGATTATGCAGCGATAACAGATCTAATTTGGGGGATAATCATGATCTGTCGACAAGTCTATTGAGATGGTAAGTTCCTTATTCCCCTCAATTGGCAGATAAGATCTACCGAAAAAGGTATAAATAAGTACTTGTAATTGATCTTCATCATTTGGCGAAGATCATCGAAATGCTCCATGATATCTTGTTGTTAGGATTCTGGCGCCTGCAGGTAGCCCTGCTATTAGTACCGAATTGGATTACAAACGCAGCAGCTTAGCTCAGAGCGTTTGCTTCTGCTCTTTGCTATTGGAGAATACCTAGCTAGTTATATAATACTCATTATGGCTAAGTCTTACTTATATACATATACATTGTTTAAAGTAACGATCTAGATGTCCATTCCTATCTATATCACACTGGCCGAAGTTCCAGTTGCAAAATTCCTATTTATTCACAAATCTCTATATCAAAATTACAGTTGCTAACAATTAAGATGTCAAAAGCTACCTTATCATTGATTAGAAGATATGAATGAAGCGGTAGGCGGTAGGTTTGAAATAAAAATATTGCAATCACATTCCTGATTCTCCTATGTGGTTTGCCTACCTGCATATCGAGGAGAAATTAACTGGATGACAACTTGAGATGAATAGGTTGTGTTACTATACATTTTTCTTTTTACTACCTATTTTCCAAATATCTAGAAAGACTGAAACAGCCTTCTGAGAACCTTTGACTATATAGTCAAGCATTTGAGTCCTGGAAGAAATAGAAACCTTTATTAATTCATTCTCAGGCACCAGAAATGTTAGCCATTTTCCTCAATAAGCAGCCATGAAGCAAATATTCGTTTTCGAAGGTTGCACATTTCTGGCCGACTACAACCCCAATGAAAACCCTCGTGACAATCCCAATGACCATGAAAATCCCGACGATCAAGACAAGCTCATCACAATCACCATGCGCTGTTTCGGTGCTCGATTCAAAATAATATATGAGCCGCACAACCTAGCCATCTCACCATATCTCCTCGCACAACACAACAAGTCCCTCAGTGCCATACGGCACGGATGGGAATTCGGCACCGATGAATACATCCACGAGATCCATCGTCTCAAGAAGCCTTTTGAAGAACTTATGAGTTCTCTAGCTCCAAGCCCAATACCTTCGGTCAATCATCTGTCAGATTACCTCTACATACCACATCTAATTCTCGAGGCCACGGCAGCCGCCGAAAATAGCACAGAAATCCATCCACATTTCAAAGGGCAGCTTCCGCAAACACTGGCGCCTCCCCATGCTATAGGTATAAGCTGTATAGCCGATCATCTCAGAACAGTCAAACACACCACTTCATCTGAAGTGCGACTTCTACCCACCTCCACCTCCTGCACTCCTGATAGACACCCACACCTCCGTGGTCCCACCAAGGTCATCGATGCAGATGGCACCATATGTTATTTCAAACCCTATTCCAAATTGATATTTTCACCCAGAGTGGATTCTGACAAGCCATGGATCTACAATCAGATGAACACCGCTTTTGAGACCAAGAAGCTGCGTGCTGATATACGCATCTGCCGATTACACAGCGTGGTCATCGACTCGATACCCCACGATTGTCTTTCCCACGAGGAGAACACTAACACTAAATGGAACGAGGAGTCCGCGGCAAAGAACGACCCGGCCTACCAGAAAAAAGCCGGAGCAAGCGAAAAAGCCATGCTCGGCATCCTACTAACCTACATTACCCACAAAGACACACTCGCTTCAATAGCATCCACCTGCACCACCACCACCACCACCACCCCCTCCTCCCTCCTCCATCGTTCAAGTTGGAGCAACAAACTCTCCAAACTAATCCAATCCAATCGCTCCACGCCGCCGATATAATCTGGGGAGACGCGCGACCCGAAAACATTCTCGTAGATCTCTCTCATAACTTGTGGCTTATAGATTTTGATAGCGAGACGAGACGGCTTTGGCTTGGTGAAGCCGAAGAGGGGAGTTTTGTCCCCCGCTGGCCTCGATGGCCTGTTTGGGTGGATTATGAGATGAGGGATACGAAGGAGGGGGATTTACAGGGGGTCGAGAGGATTAAGGAGAGATTGATGCAGAGTTCGAGTGCTGGCTTGTGTTTTGGTGATTTCTGGGTGGTTTGATTGGATTGGATTGGATTTATTGCTTGGTGTTGATGAAACCAAAAAAAGAAAATAAGGAGTTCGGCAGAGTTTACGCGGGGGAGGGCCTGTTGGAACATATAAAAGAGGGTATTAACAAAATGCCAAAGATTGCTAAAGGGTTGCCATTTATGTGTGATATGTACTACCGATAGAGCCAAAAACTCTTAATTAATTCATATTACTCAGTCTAGCAGACTGATTTATTTACCCAAGGATCAGTGGTCAATTCTCAGTTGAAGTGTTATATTTCTATGTTTTGATTTCCCGCGCATTGACTTACCCATCTGATCTTTTCCTTCTACTGCTGCTTCTTCCTTCCTCTCATCTGGCTTCCTTTCTTTGAATTCCAAACGCTCCTAGTACCGTATCCTCGATTCTATATAAGCTAGCTTGGCCCATCCACTTGGATCACATCAAGTACTAACTAATACTTTCTTCAAATTCTCTTGTAGACGCGACACAGCACGATACATGCGCATTGATGTACTTTCTTTACAACCCGCAGTAAGAAAGATATCTCACAGTGAATTTGAATAATAATTAACTAACAGATTACATCAAAAGTAAGTACCAAATACAAAACTCAACCAGGTATCATACACAGTTTTTGACCTCATTCCCATTCCCATTCCGTCCCATCCAATCCAATCCAATCCAATCCAATCCCCATCCATCCAGCCCCGTTCCCCACCAACCCAGCCTTCCCATTCCCAACCCCTCAATTCCATCTAGAGAGAAAACTCCGTTGATTTGTACCAGATCGTGCCAGATCAGACCTTAGGGTCACCCTATTAAGAACACCCCCATTACAAATCATCATCATCAGCAGCAGCCATGTTCCACTTCTTTGCTGTCAATTTCCTAACCCTTTTAGTGGGACTTCCAGTATTCGCAGTACTCTGTTTGATCCTCAATTTTCCACTCGCACTTCTAGCACCGCCAACTTCAGCATTGTCATCAACCTTCAACTTCGCCATATTATCTTCTAGGTCTAGACCTTCATTTTCAATATCATCTGGAATTGGCGAAGCTGATTTATCCATAGCGTGTGTTCGGCTCTCCTTCAAGATTCTACTCGAAGGCTTTCGAGATTTAGTCGGACTCCTGCCAATCAATTCCCGTTTTAATCTCTCAACCTCTCTCAACAACTTTGCATTCTCGATTTCAAGTTCTATTGCCGCATCCTCGTTTTGATTTTCTTTGTTCTCATCCCCACCAATACCAGCTCCCAATCCTCGGACCAATACCTCCACCTTTCTATCCCTCCATTCCTCTTCCCTCTCCCCATGTTCTTCTAGTCTCAGCATCCACCTTCTACCCTCTTCTTGAATTCTCTTCTCCATTTCGTCATAACACTCCTCTCGAATTTCCATTTCTAGTTCCAACATTTTGTCTTCCATGCTTTGAAGATGTGCTTCACTTTCCAGCCTCAATTTAGTTTCGCGCTCCAATTCACCGCGTAAGCCATCGATTTCCTCGAACATGCGTGCAATCTCTAATGCTGCAATTTCCATCGTCTCGCGCTCGGTTTCGGTAGGAGTTTGAGATAGACCATCACGGTAGCGAGTGAAAGTAGGAGATGTAGGACTAGTTAAACTTGTATGCCTATCAGATGATCGAGATGAACCGAGGATGGTAGCCGTGATGGATGGCACCCTTGGAACCGTAATTTCTTTTGCCAAAGCTGAGTAGCGCAGGATTTGTGAGGTAGCATTAAAGTCTCCCAGCGGATCGGCCGCAACGATCATGATCGCTTTTTGTGGATGTCGATGATGATGAGCGGTCGAAGAAGATTTCGAGCTACTCGACGTGAAGGAGTTTGAGAAGAGAAGTTCGGTGAGTTTACATTGGCGGAATGGGACAAGATTTGGCTGTTGGTCTTCGGTTAATTTTGAAGTCTAGCATAGCAAAGAATATCCAAACGTACCTTTGTGTTATTCTCCAAATCTGACTGCATCTGTAAACACTGTCCTAGATACATTAGACTCTCATTAATCTTTCCGGCCTCGGCTAATGTAGCACCAGCAGTCTTAGCGTCTCTGGCTCTTTCACTTCCAGCCAGATCCACAATGGTAAGTGAACTTCCTCCCCAAGGGCCTGGTGTTCTTGATCTTCTCCTCTTTTTCACCTCCACGCAGAAGAATCCATGAGACCTAGACGATGTACTATTAGTATTGGTTCCCGCGACTCTTCTTTCACTGAGACCAGCTTCCAAGACCATAAGCGCATCTTTCATGCTTCCACAAATAATCTTCCTCAATCCAGCGACTACCTTCCGGTCCGGTGTTTGTTCTGTAGGTTTGAATAGCAATGGCCTTCTCCTAGATTCCTTCGTAGATTTATTAAGTGCCGCCGGCGTCAAAAGATCGAATATCCTATCATTATAAACCTCGTACATCGAAATCAAAATCGCATACTCCGCATGATGATCCACATCGACAGTGATACCCGTAATATCCGGACTACTTGGCAAAGCCGAAGGTCTCGTCGGTATCGTTCGTCTCGGAGTAGGTTGGTAAGAATCGCCCTTTTGAAGAGTTTTAGCACTAATCATCTTCCTGGCTGCTGTTGCAGTAGCTTGCATAAATGAAGGAATGAAGGAAGTCATCGATACTGTCGATTCTCCTGGAATTGGCACTGGCGCACATCCTGGTGCTTTACTATCATTATCCTGGTGGACTACGATCCTGATGCTTCTAGGACTTCCTGGTGCCTGAAAAGGGGGCAAATACGGATACAACTTGGTTGCACTGGGGTGGTAGGGAACAATGGGCACTCGTACCACCTGGGGTGTTGGAGCTCTTGAGCTTCCTCGAGATGATGCTGGGTCGAAGTAGTATGTATCTAGGAACGCCTGCGCAGACATGATTTGGGCCTCTGATGGATCTGATGATGTAATGGAAGCATGTAGTCCAGGGTGCGAATTAACATCGAGAATGTTGTTGTCAATGGAACGAAAGAGTAAATCGAGGGCGAGTTGTGTCAGACCGCGTTGATTTCGAGATCCAAGAATTGTATGACTCTGCGAAAGAAAGTTAGCACCCATCATAATCTGCAAGACAATCAAACCGCAATATCAACCTTTCCAGAGCCAGTGACTCCCAATGTAGCAAGCAATCCATCTCTGCCATCTCCACCATTTGGGCCCAAAACACCTTCAACCAAAGGTAGCACACCCGTTCCATGAAATAAATCCAATTGTGAACTCTCTTCTTCAAACACTCGCGTGAAAGCGAATTTCTCCACTGCCCTGCGTCTATTATCATTTGGCGGATTTAACGTGATGTGGGTCGGAAATGAAGTCGACGCTGGGATTCCATCTTCAAGTTGTTCTTCAGTAGTGGGTTCTTCAACAGTTAGAAAGCGGTCTGGTGTTGGTAAGGTGGGGTAAGGTGAAGGATATAATTGTTGATTTGATATTTGAGGAGGTCGTAATCGTAAATACACTTGAAAGAGTGCAGATTTTGAGTTTGTCGTTGGCGGTTCCATGATTGGGTATGGAATCTGGAGAAGTGTCGTGGTTCGTTTTGGTGTTTCTAGATGCTGATCACGAAAGGAGATTTAAATCGAAATGGGATAAACTCGCGAAAGTTTATTGACGCGTAAGGAAAAAAGTCTGGGGTAATTGTTGTCAGAGGAACCAAGGGATTGTGTTCTATTAATAAGTATTTAAGAATGTGAATTTTGGGAAATCAATACACATTTACCCCTGACATCTTTTATAGGCAATTGATATATCCCTACTAGATAGATACTCAAGTACTACTACAAGTACAGTAGATATCATCAACTCCTCAAACATACAATCATTCAAACATACCATCACTAGTTATTCATTCTTATCCTCAAAAGACGTTCAGTACCAATACTCTATCATTTATGTGGCTAAATCTTATCCATACCTTCAAAAATCTTCCTTCCATTGCCCAGTCCAACCAAAGCAACCACCCTACTTTCCCATCAAGAAGTTTGAATCTAATATACACAGTACCAACGCAAGAAAATCTTTCTAAAGTCCATATTTGTATATGCCCCAATGTAAATCTGCCTCATGATCATCGTGATAAAAAGCAAAGGGGTCCAAATTCTCTTTTTCCCACACACATAAAAACGCCATTCACGCCTTGACACCCTCACAAGGTATACAATCCCCATTACTCCATAGGCCATACACTACAGCAAGCATTTTCTCCTAAGTGTCCGCACTCCTAGTCTTCTTTTTGGAAAAGAATGTTCCGCCTCTCTTGGGTAGGATTTCGCCATTCGCAATTGCCCTTTCTTCCGCGTAGCCTTTCCTGCGTTCTGCCCTTCGTGACTCGATAGTTTCCTGGCTAATGTGTCCGAAGCCATTCCTTCTTCGGAAGCATGCATCCATAAGTCCATTGGCGTCGACAAGTCTTCGAGGGATGGTTTGTACGACTTGGAAAATTTCCATGGGGTCTGAAACGGCCTTGATCTCCTGTTCTCCTACTTTGAAAATTGCCAAAGCAATGCGGAATAGAGTCTTTGATCCTTCGAAGAAAAAGCTGTCCCAGACGCGTAGTGTAGTTTCGATTGGGAGAGTTCCAATAAAGCATGACATGAACCAAGCTGTGGTACATAATGTGATAGGGGGAAGACGCATGGAAAGCCTCCCATCTCCTGCTGTACCGTCGAGTTCTCCTCCAATCTTCGCCCATATTGCTGGCATGGATTCCTTGATACTAGTCATCAGTACCCCCAAATCCACATTTGCGCCTTCTAGATTAAGCTCATGGGTTCCTGGCAGATAAACTCTCGTGATAATATTCAACATCCAGAAACTTTTCTCTTCCTCCATGAACAACAACAATAGCCCCGCCAAAAAGTTCAAACTCTGACAATACCCTATCCTTGGGTTGTAAATACTAAAAGCTTGCAATAATCTCCGTAGCGCTTTCAACATAGGAGTCTCCGGTTCCTTGATACTCGGTTGGCTGCTCCGTTTCTCGGAGACCGGAGGGGGATCCGGTTTGAATTTAATATTATCCGGAAAAGTACGATTGAGATCCCGCTCAATAATTTCGTCGTCCGTTTCATTAACCCCGCCTGCAGCTGCCTGCTTCACCAAGCTGTCATACACACCATAGTGCTTGCTCACCATAGCCGGACCACCTGCGTACCAGAACCAAGCTTCTCCTCGCCAGTCAGGTGGTATTCCTTTACGGACGAAACGTTTGACTTTTGCTGATTTTGGTGGAAATCGGATTGGCTTGTCGGTGATCAGACTATGATCCTTGAGCAATAATACCCATTTCTTTCGCCTTCGATCAATGTATTCATTATAAGGCCCACTCCAAGCTTCATATTCTTCCAACGAAACGTATTGCGTCTTTTTCTTGAACCCATACCTATCTCTAGCTGGGTCTGACGGGTTTGGTGGTGGTGGCGCCGCTGCACGCGGTTCGAAGTATTCTTCTCGGGCCTCCTGAGATGCTTCTGCACCATCAAATTCTTTCGATTCTGGAAAGTCTCCTGGGATGAAATTTGGGGTGGCTGCCGCACCTGTAAACATTTCCGTGGAACCCCGAATTGAAAATTGCGACGCCCCGAGAGTAGCAGGAGGCACAAGAAAGTCGCCCATTGCCTCTTCTATCTTCGATTGTCTTCTCTCCGAATTGGGTGTCATTGGTCGAAACTCCTCGTCTTCGTCAAACACATCCTCTCGATATACAGACCTAGGTGTGACTTCCGCTCCAATTTCCAGGAGCTTTTCTGCTAAATCGTTATCTTCGACTCCGGAATCCAAAAATCCGCCTTCATACATGCCAATTGCATCATCCACACTCATCCCCTCATCTTTCCCTCCAAAGAAAGAGGTATGTGAACTGCTTTTCGTCAATACACTACTCCTTTCTGTCCCGCTTGTTCCAAAATAGCTGGAGTTTGTAGTTAAAGCAGATCTGAAGCTTGCTCGGACTTCATCGTCGTCAAAATTTGTTGGACGAATTGGGGGGTCGCGCCGATATATAGACGAGTTATTACTATCGGGTCTATTGAGTCCTGTTCTTGGCCTAAAGTTCGCTTGGGGGATATTGCGCTGTCTCGCATTATTTAAATCTGCAGTATGGTAGTCCGGGATCGACGCAGAAGGGCGAAGTGTATGTGTAGGTAACTGTTGTCCTGATTGTGAGGAGGATGACGACACCCCTCGTTCCCTGGTACTGATAATCGACCCATTGTTTATTGTTTGTTCCTCTTGTGATTCTACATGAAATGTCGAGGCATGTATCAAGGGACTGGGTGATTCATTTCGCCTCCGCAGACTTGCTTGTCGTGGCCTAGAGAAATTATCTACTGCCTTTTCAGGTGTACGTCTGCCAGTGGAAGAATGCGATCGCACATTACTAAGTTGTCTCAATCGTGAAGCCTCGGAGGGTTTTCGTCGAAGATTTTGTTGTGAAGGAGCAGTGAAGGATCGGGATGGTTCGTTAGGTGAAGAATGATGCGCTGTGGTGGGTCTTTGGTGTGGAAGAGGAGGGTTCTGAGCGAGAGGGTTGACCGGTAAATACAATTCTCGAGATGGTGTTGGTGATCGAGGTGGAAATGGAAATGTGCCATTTCCAGACCTAGTAGTACTAACAGATAACTCGGAAGCTTTGGATGAAGTCCGGGGCCTTGTTGGATATAGGCTGAATTTCTGACTTCGCTGTTGTCTGATCTGCATATGCGGACTCCTGTTATCCATGTTGTTGGAAATAGGAGAAGACGTTTCAACGCCATAATATCCATTCGCTATATTCATTGTCATGGCCAAAGTCGTGTATCCCTTATCGTAGATATTCCATCTAACTTTCAAGCACTTCCCATGTAAACAAAGCAACAATCAATCCGCCTCTCCAGGTCTACGACCCGGATCGTATTCGGAGGGACCCTGTAGTAGTAATTGATCTCGTCAACATCAAAGTTAGAGATTCTTTCGCCCGAGGTTACTTTCTTTCTTTCTTTCTCTCTATCGAAGAAAGAGGCTGGTTTCGCTGGTACCTGTATAGTAGTACGATTATGTTGTGGAATAGCAGATAGTAATTATCGGGGGACGGGCATTCGGCGAAGTTCGAGTCTCGAGGTTCAGTGTATCTGTCCAATGTCCAGGTAAAGTCCAATTCTCATTCTCCCAGTGGTGTTCCAGATGTTCCAAACTCTTGTATCCGTCTCGTAATTCACTTTGTGTCTCCAATGTTTCAAATTCCGGAATCGATTTCAGTTAACGAGTGAGTATGAGTATGAGAATGAGAATGAGTATGAGTGAAGGACAGGAATAGAAAGAATTTATGCGTAAAAGTGGATTTGTTAGGGATCAACCAGCATTGAATTAATTGATTAAGTATCTAGTTGCAAGTTGTTGCTTGTATGTATAAAAAAGGAAGCTTAAAAAGTGATCCACCCTTCAATGAATGTGTCTGAGTCGCTGATGAGAGAAGGAGAGAAGGAGAGGTTGAGGTTAAGAATGAATGAAATGAACTAATGAACGAATGATTGAATGAATGAATGAATGAATGTAAAGAGAAAGGGTTTCGGATGTTTGGTTCAACTCATCTGTTTCGTGAGATGGTCAAAGCAAGTAATAAGCAAGATTTAAACATTATAATATTATTCAACTAAGTAGTCGTACCTCGTAATAGGATGTCACAATTTGATTGATACGTTCCATATTTTAAACCCTATATCTTTGGAAGACTGGGTACTACTGGCTGAATAACCGGTGATGATGATCATATTTGACCAGGTACATATATTCATTCTACTTGGTTACTCCATTATCATTCATTGTAACTCCTCCTACTTTGCAATACAGTACAGTAGAGACTTACTTTTCCATAGTATCGTCTTGTACAGAGGAGTTACCCAAATACCGGTACCCAGCCAAACAGTAGCCGATAACCTCCATTTAGAACAAGCTTTCCTTGATTCCCCTCAACAGCTAATCGTTTCATTCGTCAATCTCGTAGGAAAAGTAAATTGTGATCAATCTTAATCTGGTCTTCCTCTGCATCAATAATCCTGGTTAGATTCTTTAGCCAATAATTGTTGTGTCTGAGTGCTGGAAGCTTTATCATTTTATAGAAGCCGAGAAGGGAGAGAGAGAGATCAAGCGAGATGAAACTATGAAAATGTCTATGCTATGAGTGAGTGAGCTAGTAGGGGAAGAGATTTCAGTAATTGTTTATAATAAATATTGATCTATCTCTAATAATGTTGAAAACCGTTAGAGATTCTGGAAACTTGAATCTCTTACAGTGTAATTTAGTTTCTTTTTTACATCGGATGCTCAACGCCTTTATGCGCCACTTCATCTTATATAAAGCTTATCCCTCGCATCCGTTTTCCCCTCTAGTTCTCCCCCTTTTACGCGCCGCGCCGCATTCCTGATAGAGGAGTAAGGAGGCATAAGCATTTACTTATCTATTTCCATATCGGTCAATTTGTTGATATTATTCCGAAGAGGTGGAGTTAGTATTCTAAATAAGAACCAAAAAAAACAATAGTTCGAAGAAGTAAAGAGAAAGGAAAACTTATGAATAACCAGTTTAATTAGCTCCCCATTGAGGTGTATGAAAGGATTCATACGTTTCGAATCACCTAGATCAGGTCATGCAACGGTTTTCCCGGACAAGCAATGCATACTTATTCCTGATTTCTTCACTATCTGATCGCTGATACTAATTTCTTCTATGTACCCATAGCGCTAATGACAAACATCTCGTTGGTGACGCTGCTGTCATGCATTGTCATATTTCCATGACTTCGTGTCGTTTCCGTTCCGAAGCCATCCAACTTCCGCTCCCTAACCCTCGATATGCTCTCACGGTTGTCCCATTTCCCATTTGGACCTTATTTCTTCATAGCGTACTTCCTGGTATTTTCCCTCGCCTCCTTCGCAAAGCCCTCTGTGTCTGTCTTGCACTTCTCCGCAATCGCATTCTCTAATGGATCATCTGGATTTGGCTGAATCAAAAGATTCCTGATAGCCCCCAGAATTGCCGTGATCTTACCACTTGGCTTCCACTTGTCTTGCTTCAACTCGTCCACACAAATCGATCCTTTCTCATCGAAGGTAACGTTGGGGTGATAGATGCGAGTTACGAAGTTGACAACGGGAGGCTTGAAAGGGTAGTCTTTGGGAAGGGCAACGTTGAGGATGAATAAGCCGCCCTGATATGCCAAATATTAGTGAGAGAAAGAGGAGGAAGATGGGCGGGGGAAAAGGTAGACGTACGGCATATGGCGTGTATGCAGGACCTTCCATTTCGACTTTCCATTGATGTAAATCATCCTCCTTCAATAAAGATGTGCTGATACCTGGGATGGGATTTTCGGTCACTTCCTTTAATTCCTAACACATATCCAGTCAGACTATGCTCTGCTTCAACTCAAATTCGGGAGTCATAGTTGCAAACCTTGGCGATACGTCGTGCTGCCATTTTGATTGTTGATGTTGATAGCTTTCAAGGTAGCTACAGATGATGACGGCGTGGATGTGTTGGATGAGGGGGGGCGTTCAAGATTGTAGGGAGTTGGAGTTGGAGTTGACTGTTTCTTGCTATTAGATTGAGAGCAACTCTAGTAGATGAGGTTTCTTACTTTTTAAATATGCAGAATGTGTTTCTCTTTGAAACCTTTTCAGAGAAACTCTTTAGTAGAATTATTTGTTCTTTTCGATGTAAATGTTTGAAATTATGTGAGAATAGAAAGTTACCTATGAGTAGGTAAGTTAGGAATTAACCAACCCATGCATTCACCGTCAGAGCTTCAATCGGCCATTCCACCCCTGTCGTTCCGAGGCAGTAAGGGCAAGGCTGAGTACAGTACCAGCCAGTCTTATTATAGATTTCTTTTGTATTCAAGTGATTATCTAATTTAATTTAATTGTCATTCAAGAAACATTATGTAGATATACATTCTTGAAAAGTAAAGTGGAAGAGCGTTTCTGTATCTGAGGGATTGCTTTCGACAATTACCTTTGAGGATATGGAGAACAAATCTCTACATTTGTCTTTGTTAGTCGTTCGAATCAATCCTACCGGTACCTGGTAGATGGCCTAGACCCCAAAATCTCAGAATTTCAAAAGCTTAGAAAGCTCTACTCGCAATGTTCTTCAGACTTCGCAACTTATTGTCACAAATCCAGCTTCATTCCTATTGTGAAGGTCTTACCTTCGATCCAAGACAATCCTTACACATGTATCACCCCTCTTTCAGATCATGTAAGATTGGGGTATCTTCTTTCTTTTAATGCCGTTCTAAATTCAGCTATTTCCTCTGTTATTCTCTCTGTAAAACCACAACCAACCCCATCATTCCTAGCATAACAGTCTTCAACCATGGATGCTCACTAAGTAAAATTGTGACGTATCCCACAAATGGTATATATCCCACTACACTTCCGATGATATCTTCCCTCTCGATGTAATCCTGTCCTCGCGCATATAGCTCTGTATCGTCTGCAACATTGTTGTCTCCCTTCGTCAATAACTTTGCTTTGGCTCTGCGATTCCGGATGTTAGTCTAAAAATCTGGCAGCATGTCCCCGCCGCTGCACCACCCCCAGAGTAGAGACTCACCCTGCCCCAAACTTCCTTACTAAACGATGCACAATCGGTATGTCCTTGCCCTTGACTTGGTAGACGACAATTTCCCCAACCTTCGTTTCTTCTAGCAAGTTCCTGTTCCATAAAAATAGAAGATCTCCGCGCTGGAATGCGGGTTCCATAGATCCAGATAGAACGACGACGATTGGTGAAGGTGAATCCGAAGCTACTGAAAGACCTTTCCACATCATGAAGGCGGTAGAAAGAATGAGAGCGAAATTCAGTACCTGCGCCGCTGCTTGGCGGGGGTTCTGGAGAAAAGAAAGCATGGTTGGTAGTTTGAGCGTTTGGAGGGTTTTGGCAGCTTGACTCAAAGTGCTAAGGTATCGGAGATAGTTTGCGCAATTTGTTGCCGTTGGTAAATACTCAAATGGAATAGAATCTGCGCATTGATGGGAGGTCCTAGATGCAATGCAAAGGAATGGCAGGTAGCCTTTGGTAATGATTTATTGCAATCAAGAAAGGTACGGACACAATTCTTACTACCAGTATATCTAAGTAAATGAGGACACCTTCTAAAGGTTAAGGATCTAAGGACTGATTTATTAGTTATGCTTAATTGTGCTTAGTTTATGCGGATGGTCCGTGCATCATGCTTCTTCCTCTCTTCTTAAGCTCGTCTCTCCATGTCACGATTTCATTGTTTTAATGACTATGTGTTTCTACAATATAGTATTTGGAATATGTACTAGGTATATGTATATACCCACTCTAATCATTATATCAAACTATATATTCCTACAAGATTATATTGGAAATGTATATATATATACCCTATCCATTCCAACCGATTCTTTATAAACTCTGTGAACAATAAATAGTATTACATTACTGTACAAGCAAGAGCTTCTCCTGTCCCTTTTCGACATATTGGCCAGGTATTAGCGGATGTTCAAGTTCAAGTGAACGAACAAGCAAATTGCCTTCCATATTCTTCTAGTGTATTTGGTAGGTATCTTGATGGACCTGTCCTCAAGCTCCCGTTTGTCGCCGTTGGACCTCTTCTTCGCGCCTTCCATTAGGCAGTGCAATCGAATCGATAAAGGAAACTGCAAACTCTCATCATCTGCTCTTGCATCGATAATTTTCTGCTAGTCTCTGACACGGCATGTATACTTCCTCTTTTCCTCCCTCTCCTTTCTCTCTTCATCACACACAACACACGACACAACTTCATCGTAAAGTATTTGTGTTTCTCTTGTCGTTTTAGTTACTTGATTCATTCATCCAAATCTCGTTTTGGTCACCTTCGCTCTTCGCTCTATACCTAGTAAACTCCCATTATCTACTTTGAATCGTTTCCTTTCGAGATGTCTTCATCTACCGCTCTTCTTCCAGGCGGAAGCAATAAGAAGAACGATCACGTAAGTCATGTCTCAAGTTTTCCAACTGCAGTCTGCGGGGGATAATGCTTCAGTTATAGCCTATCTTTCTCCGTGCTTGTCACTCTCCATGGCTCGGCGTCTCTCAGAAATCCCTCGTTTTCCTCCGAGGAATCATCGCAGCCTACCTTCTGGTCTCGTCTTATGTGATCCTTCATTATGAGCTTGAGATCAACAAACATGGCTGGTTAGTTGTTTTCAACCTTTCCAACATCGTGTATGGCTTGCAAACTCTGTACGCCTGGATCGCCTTTGTGAGTATATGTTCTCAATTCCTCATGCTACTTGCATCTCTACCCAATCTTGATATTTGGCGCTGATCCTTATCCATTGGCAGATCTGGACCTTCATGCACCTCTACTACCCACACAACAACGACAATAACTCTTCATCATTCTCTACCCACACTCGAAAATTCCTCTCGCCATCTCGTCGAAACTCCAATACCAACGAAAAGTACTTCTTCAGCGTCTTTCATTGGGTTGTTCTTGCATTCCCTCATCTCGTCACTTTCATCCACTGGGTAGTTATTGTTCCTCGAAATGAGACATCAATTCCAAGTAAGAGCTTTCTTCTGTGATACTGCAATCAATACTAATGAGTATTCAGCTGATGAGATTTTCCATGATAAACTCACGACCTACTTCATCTTCAGCAAGTACTGTATCAATTCTATCATTGCATTGATTGAGCTTTTCCTCCTCAGCAGCATCAAGAGATCCGACGTAAGTTTTTCTGAATCTATCTCTCTTCTCCTGCTAAATTTGTTTCAGCCTGCCTGGAACCATGTTGTTGCAGTCGCTGTACTTCTTCTCGCGTATGTTGGCTGGGCATCTATCGGCAAGATTGTTGTCGGCAGATACACATACTTCTTCTTGGATCATGAGAAGACGGGGTGGGAGTACTACTGGGCGTCCATTGTTGGTTTCGTAATTGTCGGTGAACTCTGTGTGTTACCTCTCTATCTCTACAGATGTGATTTCGCTAATGAGTTTAGTCTTCGTCTTCGTGTACTCCCTCACTGGCGTTCGTGAGTCCATGACAAAGAAGCAAAGCGACGATAAGAGCACTGGTTACCAAAGGCTTCCTCAGTAGAAGTTCGTACCGAATACCAAGAATAATTGACAAAAGACTAAGCATGATCATCGAGGTAGATGAACCATGCGTAGAAGGGTCAAGAAGGATTGAAGCATCGATGGAAAGTAACCCGAATGGGTTGCATAGGTATCATATTGTTTGACTTTGGTTTCGTTCGGTATTGCTATTGTTTTGTTTCCTTTTTTTCGTTGTCGGGTGGTAGTATGAAGGCCCTTGAGTTCTCTCTGTATTGATATCCTGATCCACGACTTTGCTTTAGCTTTACCTAGTACCTACCTACCTGCACTAATTTCATTCATTCGGTCGGGTTTCCGTGTTCTATGTGTTGCCAGGAATCGCCTCCCTCACTTGATTCTTATATCGAATAGACCCATATGCTAGACTTGATGAACTTGAACTGTTCCTTGGTCTGTTGGCCATACTTATTTTGATATGGCGTGGGTGTAGTTACTACCGTCATGGTTCACCTAGTAGCCAATCACATAGTGCTAATGATTTCCTTCATAGGTCACTGGTTTAATATTGTATCTGGACTCACTAGCCTGATAATCTTGATATTAGTACAGAAAACCCAGACTAGCACTTACAAACGAATCTTAACGGAAAGTCAGTTCTTCGGCATCATCAATTGAACCTTGCTAATTATCCATCCTCCAAGCCGACAGACAATCCCTCGACTGCATCCTGGTCGCTGTGTGATAATACCAACTCCATATTCAGGTACGATCTCAGATTGATATGAAGATCCTCGTTTTGTTTGTGCTGCTTTGGAATCGTCTTGGGACTCGGGACTTTTGCTGGCAGCAAGGTTACTATTTATATTTTTTTGGTCTTGATATTGATATTGATTGTGTATGATATGATGTTCGATAGAGAGGGTACTACTAGTACTACTAGATTGTGGTATATTGTGGTTCCAACTACCTAACGTCCAAATCATCATCGGTTCCTCAGACATTTACTGTACTCGAGTACTTTCAAAATTGAGGATGAGGGTGTCGAAATGAAGTTGGGTTCTGGGTAGGAATTAATTTAGTAGATGGGTTTCCTCTAGTTAGGGACTCGACTCCCAACGACTGTCGATATTGAAATTGAAATTAAGGTTGAAATAGAGATTGGGTGGAAGCCCTTGAAGTATTGAGAAATACAACAAGGAACGCTAGAGCTAGAAGGCAGGAAGTACAATACCGGTAGTCTGTCTTGAGACGTCGGGACAAAAGTCTATGGCTAATAATGAGACGGAGATTTTATTACGAGAAATCATTCATCACTTCTTTCTTGGTTTATGGCGGGGAAAGAAGGAGGTATAATAAGCGGAGGAATTTTTTTTTGGGAACAAAAGACTGGCTTTTGGAGTTTGAAGTTTGAATATTGGAGTGGATTTGAGGTATTTTTGGAGATGTTTTTTTGAAGGGCAAGGAGGCGATATCGAAAAGGGAATATTGAAAGGAGGAAAGGGTAAAGGAAAGGCAGGTAGTATTGAAGGGGGAGAGTATCGAAAGGAAAGGTAGTATTGAAGGAGGAGAGGGAGTATCGAAGGAGGAAGAGTATCAAAGGGAGAGGTGGTATTGAAGGAGAAGGGTATCAAAGGGGGAGTATCGAAGGGAGGAAGGGGAAGGAGGGAGTCAGGGGGGGAGGGGGGTAATTGAAGAGGGGATTCAATATTTTATTATTATATAATAATCATGTGTTAGCTGATCAGCGATTGATCAGCCATTCAGTGGCGACTATGATATATCGTTAGCCATTCAGCTGGGAATTGAGGGTTCGCTGATCGCTGATCGCTGACTGATTGACTGATTGGCCACTCTGTCATCATGGGCACCCCCTTGGTTATTTGATACAACTTGGACTCTCGTCATGGCCTATCCGCCTACAACTGCTAAATTCTCGATGTTTTAGTATTTTACTTGATTGCAGTCGGTGAATTGAAGATGAAGCCGGGAAAGAAGTTGGGCGTAGTGTTTGTTGATCTTTATTACTGGATTTTGGTATGTTCAACCAATTCTTTCTGCTTCGAAAATAGTCAAGGACATGAAGGAATGGTAGGTAATAATAAGTCCATGAGACCAGAAATGGGAGAGGATGCAGAATCAAATACTAATATCCATGATCGCTTGACCACATTATCAGATTATGGTAACCATCTTAATTATAATTGTATGCTTGTGGATGATGAAAGAGAAGTTTGATGTCAATGATCACGAGCATTCCATCGGGATAAATCGGTAAGCGCAGCCTGGAATGAGATGATGCGTTTCCTTGTTGTGATAAATAACCACCAAACATATATACCATCAAGCAATGAAATATATCTAAATCGTCAAAAGCATCAAAATTATCATCAATATCGCCAACTCAGAAAAGTACCAAGTCGCTTGACCGATATTTCTAGGACTCCGAGACAGGACAGCTTCAAAATGTACAAAGCTCTCAACAAATCCCGGGCTTTTGTTCCACGCACACCATCAACTTCCCAAATTACAAATACGATTCATGGGCATAGACTCAGTACATATGAACCACGAAGATCCGAGCCCAAGTGGAACTTAGCAAGAGGAAAGCCAGCAAAGTCAGACCTGAAAGAACCTCAAAACCCCTCCATCGGACTCAATTTCAAGGAACTTGGCGCTACGAGAACGGTCAGATGGGTGGTGATTGTGGTCATTTCGATTGCTAGTATGATGGAGACAATGTTTTGGACCAAGGTACTGATGAGGAAGTTGGGGTGGGGAAAAGGAAATCAGAGGGAAGAGATGGTGGGAGAAGAGGGGGAGGAAGAGGAAAAGAAAGGGGAAGAGTAAAAGGAAGAGTAAAAGGAAGAAGAAGAAGAGGAAGAAGAAGAGGAAGAGGAAGAGGAAAGCTTTTATATATAGGTAACCTTATCAATTAATCATCTGGTAAGAGATGTCGTCCCTATCTCACAGAATTATCATTATTACCAGCGACATATAAAAAATAACACTAAAGCCATGCATAACATTATGCAAGAACTATCTACCTAGTAAGGTTAGTTCTTCCCCACACAGAAAAACTTTTCGGGCATGACACATTAACACCAAGGCCTATACCCCACTCTGATTTACCCCCCACTTCATCCACTTTGAGCAATTTTTATTGAATCGTCGATACGATATAAATCATACGATGCTGTGATTTACATGTGATCATTATTATTGTGATGGATATACAGTACTCGAGTATATAGTATATAATACGAGCTTTGACTTCGGCCCCTCGGTGCCGGAAAAACAATTCGCCTCGCTGCGCTCTTCGAATCGTTTTTCAGGGCACCTCGATTCCTACGTCGCAGCTCGTCCTCCGGAGGCTTGTTAACTTGATAATCATAAATATTGAATGATATTTTTGAATATCATCCTTTCAGATTTCATTTTATCGATTAGTACGAGAAGTGTATTAATATTGAAGATTGAATGTGGTATTGCACGTGAATTTTCAAAAAAATGTTCGTTGTCGTGCATTGACCATGTGCGAAATAAGAGTGTTTTATAATATGAAAGGTTAGATATAGAGAAGCTTTTGAAGCTTTTATTAGTTTTGAAGAGAAGAGAGGAGAGGAGAAGAGAAGAGGGATGGATATACGGTACTGTTACTGGTACTGGTACTGACATTGATTTTTGCTAATTAACAAATGACAGTTTCAAAAAGATCAATGACTGAAAATCATGACTCGTCCGGTAAGCAATAGGGGGGTAAGATTTGTATCAGGAACCGGAAATATTGGTCTACTCTATGGTAGTATCATATATCAGCCCCAGAAAGAATTCGAGCTCAAGAACTCAGGAACTCAAGAATTCGAGGAATGGACATCCCCTTTCTTCAAGTCCCTTGGGATGAAAGTACCGTAACCTTACATTCTTGGATGATTGGAGAAATGCTGGATGGAGTCAAAAGAATGAATGATACTTTACCATATATCTACTCCGTACTTCCTTGAACATACATGGTATATTCTGCAATGTAGAAGGGAAGATTCTTACTGTTGATTGATATATGTTATTACTAATTAGTTATTTTTATATAGAGAAGAGACTAGACCCTTCCTTTTTTCTCTGAGACTTTGAGACTCTAAGTCCTCTCATACCTACGAGTATTGATATTCTAGTAACGAACACCCATCACTATTTTACCTCTTTGCCTCAACTTAACTCTTAACTCTTGGCTCATATAACCAATAACTCTCTATTAGGTATCTATTTTATTATACTGTATTTGTGGTATATACTGGTAAATGATTCCTATACTGTATTTATAATTAAGTTTAAGTTTCACGCCCAATAACTATTTACATACTAATTTAGTCTAACATTTATGACACAATTCTTGGATAATAGCGGTGAGAAATGAATCTAAGAGGAATTACCGGTAGGTAATTAATTGAACTGTTTAAAACTTGCAAGGTATAGCTCACTAGCGTCAAATTATGAAAAAAATGTCCCCTCCAAAAATTGTTATGTCCAATCCTCTTTTCTTTTCCTTTCCCCTAGTTACCCCATCAACTCCAAATAAGACAACGAAGTCACCCTACACTTATTCAATAAGTATAACCTCATAACTACAATTCGTCGAGACAATGCCGCAGGCTATTGCTGAGCAGTGAATACCCACTACAGCATGCTCACCGGGCATGTCTGTAGTCCCTTCAGCCAAACGACAACTTCAGTTCCCAAATCTTATAATTCACTTGTCTATCAGCCTATTTCGCAGATTGATTTATATCAATTGAGAGTATCAATTTCAATTACAATCATCGATCGAATTTAAACCTTGCTACCACACATATCACCTTTGCACTCCGCACATCTGCAACTTTCACCTCACCGCCGATACCAATACCGATACATTCGGTCATACACAACCATCCCCACAAGAAATATTTCTTGCAGATCCTATCAACACAAACACAATGTCTCGAAACACACAGCGCGAGTCTTTCAAGACTCCTACCAAAATAAAGAAACCCAAGAAGTCTACGGCATACTCCTCCGACTCTTCATATGCTGGTGTGGATTTGATTACCGACTCGGAAGATAACGATTCAGATGATGAGCCAGATGTATTTGGTGGGGCCGGGGGGTCTAGGTTCGAGCAGAATGAAGAAGCGGCCATGTTTGAATCCGCAGAAGAAGATGATGATCTAGAGACTGGCGAGAATGACATCGATGCACAAACCAAATTTGAAGAATGGGCAGGAATTCCAGATTACCCGGACGACTTGGGCACCCATCCTGGATTCTTTGAAGATGATACAAACGATAACCTGAATTCCGATAACAATGATACTCCCAAGAAGCGAGTTACATTCGTCGACGATGATTCAGATACCAGCATATCTGACGATGAGTCTGTCATGTGGCATCCTGATCTATTTGAAACCGAAACCTCCGCGCAAGGTCCATTCTTGAGTGCAGATGCACTTCCCCCTCGTATTGCGAGAGGATTGGAAGATGACACATATAATGATGACAATGGTTCTGACCCAGAGGTTGAATGGGGAAATGGAAATAATGATTCTACTTCTGGAGAAAGTGATAGTGACGATTCCGACGCATCTGGGTATCAATGTAAGTGGAACCAAACCGAGCATGTAGTTCTCGAGGCGAGTTGCTGAGCCGAATACTGATAACAATTTGTTACAGCTGATGTTGATGATGACGATGATGATGATGATGATGATGGTGGGGACACAACTGATGATGAAGATTGGAGAGAGAAACGTCCAGAAGCAGACGAGTCCATGCCTCGAGGCAATTCACCGAAACCTCCACTATGTCTTGGTTTTCGAATCCAGCGGAAAAAGGGTCAACCCGATGTTATAACTTGGTATCACAACACCGATATACCCTTTGTTATATTGGATGAGCATGGAAAGGATCTTTTAACGTACTCTTCCGACCCCACCAGACTAAAGGATAACAGCTCACCTTCACCCATTAGAAACGGGGGCAGCATGGGACAGTACAACCCAGCCCTTAGTAATCAAGCCAACATCATGATGAATGCAGTGGCAGATACTCCATCTGAGTTTGGATCTTATCACAATGGTCCTGGCAACCCAGGAACCTTTTTCGATGAAAACAACGTTTTCATGGACGACAATGTTGTTCGTCCAACAAGCAGTTCATCCTATGAAGGTAGCGAAGACCAAAATGAACCTCTTCAATGGAGTGACTTACTTCACTTGGATGAGGAAGGAGGCGTGGATGGTCCAGTCGAACCTCAATCATCTACTCCAGCTCCTCCAACCACTTCCGATGGACTTCATCCTCTTCTGATACATCTCGACAAAGGTACCAATGTCGGTGCCTTCCGACTCAACCGACAAAACGAAAACCTCATCAACACCAATACTGTCTCCAAAGATGCACTTGACTTTGGAACCACCCCAATTAAAGGTGTTAAGGATGGTCACTTTGATTCTCTCACCAGCTCTCTAACCCCACGACGAAAACGTAAAACCGCCTCGAATTCCACTGTTGATGTCGTTAATCGGAAGCGGAGGTCGCGTGGTGCACCCGAGGGACGTCAATTTCATAAGAGAGGTCGCAGCAAGGAGTAAAAAAACATCATATGCATGTTGTTTTTCAATTCTTGAGCTCATGACTCGATTTTGATCTCGATAATCATTCCATTGGTACATTGGTAATGATCCATTACAACTGATGGACGGCATGACACCTTTTGACTGTCATCCCTGGCCTCAGATTTCTTTCTTCCTATATTTCTTTGTTCACTGTATATTATAATGATGAACGAATTGGCATTAGACAAAAGCATGGTCATCACACACAAAAGTTTGTAGACTCTGTTTGTGCTACTGGGCACATGTACTGTTTGTTGAAATGGAGGGCATATTACGAAAAGTTCAGCACAGGTGTCATTTTTTTTTTGGCATTTATTCTCTCATGAGCCTACAGATCTTTTCTTTGCTTGAAAGGGCAACTGAGTCACAAAATCTTCTACATGTACTCTCAAATATGGTTGGTTTGGGGCATAATCTTGTATTATGTCTACTGTAGCTAAATATATCTGGCAATGTGTTAATAAAGCAGACTACCTGAGATGAATGGGAAGGGAAAGGTTATTTTATCAACAGACCCTCTCTATCTAAAGCAAGCAATTCAAAAACAAGTTAAAATTCATAAACTCTATGCTTTGGGCAGTGATGAGTGACGAGTGATGAGTGATGAGTGATGAGTGATGATATGATCGGTATTGTGTTGTGATATAACTATGAGTATAAATAAATATGATTGTGAATGTATTCTGATATAATAAATTTCTTATTGAGTAGTACTTAGTTTAGTACTTGCAAGTTCAAATTCTATTTACTTGTACTCAAGTATATAGTAAATGTATGATTTCTTTTCCTTTTTTTCCGGTCGGGAATTTATATACTGGATTGGATGGAGTATACTTGTATAATTGAATTAAATCAAATATCAGAAATGCTGTTATATTATTACAGTATTACTCAGTACTTGTAAATGCAGCTTTTAAGAATCTCGGGTTTTTCTTGTTTGTCATATTTAGAATCCTCATATATGCAATCCATATGGGTATGGATAATATGTTCATGCTACAAAGTAGAGGAATGAAAATAACATATAGTATTACTTTTTTTTTGTATCGCGGTTTCTATAGTAATCTTATAATACAGAGATAGATAAATATTGAGATGTTTTTGGAAACTGGAACTTGGAGAAGAGGTGAGGTGAGGTTAGGTTAGGTTAGACGATGGGTGGGTAGGTTAGGCAATTAACCTCCGGTCATTTTCTCATTCTTATTTATAACTAATTAGTTACTCGAGGAGTAGTCACAGATATATATATCGATTACTTACTCCACGAGTATTTACGCAGATATCCTGAATGTGGTTGTTTATTTTGTCACATCATCTTTACAGTGTGAAGTTCGTTATATGGGACTTGTCTGTAGGGTGTGCGTGGGTATGGATGGGTACTCGTATGGTGTGAGAAAGTATTTTTGATTTTTCTATCGTTTATATATGGTAGTTATCTAGGATTTAGGAGAGGGGGTGTTGAATAGCCTGGATAAAGAGAGGAGAGGAGAATTCCATTTTTATTCTTTGAGGGGAAAAAGAAGATAAGCTGGAAAGGGAGAGATGAAAAGATTTTAAAGACTGCAATTTAGAAGAGAAGAAGAAGAAGAAGAAGAAGAAGAAGATAGGAGAGAGAGCATGGAAGAGATAGGGCTGAGAAATGGGTGAATGATTCAAGATACGGGATGCAAGTACTGTGCTGTCTGTCGCTTATAGAGTATATAATGCACGTATGTATAGAGCTTGAAGTTCCAAATTTGCATTCAATTGGCTGCTCAATAAGCGATATATGTGGTGCAGTAATGTACGATATCCTGCAAAGAACAAAGATGAAAGCAGAGTTACCTACAAAACAAATACCGGTATATGATTATAATTGGTACATCATACATCATTTGTATCCCACTGGCTCTTGTTCAATTCATATTCTATTCATAAGATTTAGCCACGAGAAACAAGGGAGAGATAGACTTGGAACTGGCAAGATTTGAATATTCAGACTGTTATTCCGGATCTGATACGGTCACTGATAACCACGAGGGATTTGAAAGGCAAAGCCTAAGGTATGAAATAAGATAGATATATACTACCGGTATATACGAGTAGATCTACGAATATAAGAAGTGTCGAAAAACAGAGAGTTCTGACTTCCATCAGGATATAGAGCTCGGCAGTGTCACGCTTGGAGGCGGGAATGGGAGAGGAAATGGAGACGGTAGTAAGGGCTAAGAGGCCAGTGATGAATGAGGTAAGCATTTCTGTGATGTGGATCGATGAGTGTGATTAGGTGATATATGTTTTGACTGAACGGTAGCAAGTATTTGAGATCTCGGCTTGGTGATGATGATGATCATTACAGAGGCAAAACTTCCTTACATACTTCTCAAGCAACTTACCTGGGAACAAGCTCTCTAGTTAGAGAATAAAGATTAGGTCTTGCCCACTCTTTTCACCAAGTTGTATCCTACCTTCGTGTCCAGATATGGCCTGACAAGCTTCTGTATAGCATATACAAGGTTGTATTACAAAAGAGTAACCACAAAATCCACCACCAGGAAATGCTTCCATAAAGTTCCACGCCGCAAACACATATCAAGGCAAGGACAAGTTATGATAGCTATAATGGAGATCCGTACCTGGAGATCCATCGACCCACTATCTCTTCGATGGCATGCATTTCATATCAAGACCCGGAGATTGGGACTAAGCTAGGTTGGTTCTAGATTTCGACTTCCAAGAAGGACAACTCGCAGTCTTCAATGCTCCAACCTACAGCCAGCCCGCAGCCCATGGACGTTTTTGCACTACAAAGTAATGCAATGCATCTCGCATGCATGTAGTTAGGATCATGACATATATAGGTGCCCAAGTGACTCTATCGCTGCACTTGCAAATAGATGTTTCTTCTTAGAAGTTAGAAGCTGAATCATATGTACGTTTTATTGAGGAGAAGTATCCGAATAGCTTGCAGCTCGCTTGCCAAAAGAATCGGCTATTTGATATAAGGTTGTGGAAGAGAAAATCGGGAATTTCATCAACATCATAGTCCAGATTTGTAAAGCCCACTTTGGTATATTCCGGATTAACTTTATAGGAAAAAGAAAAAATTGATGATGGATGGACTTCCGCACCGGCGCTTTCGAGCCTTGAAGACATTCAACGGGATTATCAACCCCCCTGTATCCGATTGCCCTGCCTTGCCCGGCCGCACACGCGAACGCTACCTCGGCCAAAGTTACTGAAACGGTATAAGCTTGTTTGTTTTTCATTCTTTTTTGGTGAGAATTGGGGTTTACAGTATTAGCAGCACCAAATACTCGTTGCTAATACTCGTTGCTACGCCGCTGGTCTCGTCACAGAAGCTTAACCTTACCTGCAGCAGAAAATTTTGTTCGGAGACACACGATGCTAATGTTTCGTAGGTTTCTTTAAAACTTCCACAACATCGATGTGAGCGCGGAGACAAATCCGAAATCTTAGATTGTGGCATAAATAGATATTCTCAAGCTAAGTGAATTTATTGGTCAGATTCCAGAATACTACACTTAAGCAAGCGAGAAACAATAAAGCTTGGAATTCCCCCAAAATGTATGGAACAATGGAAATATTTCCATTTAATGGTGGGGTTGGTGTTAATTACTGTACAGCTGTAGCACTCAAAAACTGTACCTCCCGTACTCAAGTACATTGGGGATACTGTACTGCAAAGTTGTGATTGCCTGTGTAACTATTTTGTCAATGTACAGTAGGAAATACCGGTATGCGATAAATCGATATCGATGATGCATTATATGTAACAGTATATATGATGGTCGAGGAAAGGCTATGCAGATCTGGCACCACAGCCGTTAAAGATGGAAGATCGTAAAATAGAATGGTATTGTATAATTATAGCACAGTTTGTGTGAAAGCGCAATTCCGTGGATATTATCAATATCCAATTGTAGTTTTTAGAAAAATAAGATCAAGATACTCATATATGAATCGATCCACCCAACAAACTCAAATCACCAGTGCTACTGAATCTCGGGATATACGGTAACCTTACAGAAGTCAATAATATACCGTATTTCGCAAGGAACACACGGAGTACAGGGGATTGCTGCCACAAACTGTATATAGAAGGAAGGTGGGTCTGGCTGTCTCAATAACAGGTGTTAGGTTGTTGAAAGATAGGTTGACGACTTTGGTATCTCTAGCAGTGGCAGTGACAACGATATTCGGAGAGTGGAGTGCGAGTGCGAGTGCGAGTGAGATTGAGATTGAGAATGAATATGAATTGCTACCATTACTTTATTTCCTTTTGCCAATTCTTTTCTTCTTTCCGCATTCAATATATTTATGGGGAGAATTTGGCTCTTCGAAATCATATCCGTGTTAATTTTTCTTAGGAAACATCTCCCTGGGGAATTCCTATAAAATTGTCGGAACTGGAAACCATCGAATTCAATCCATTATGATGAAGATAGTGTCATTTACACGATACTGTACTACTAGATGATATCCCATCTAACAACAACAGCATTTCCTAGCAACACTTCCCCAAATCCTTCCCAACAGACCTCTGGATACATTATCTTTATCCTCCTCATCATCTTCCCGCCGATCAAGCATCTCTGCAATCCTCCTCTCCTTCAATACCTCCACATCATCTTTCTCTTTCTCTAGTCCCAAGTCTTTTCCTCTGCCTTCAATCCATCTCCTATGAGCATCTAGATTCACATTCTCAAAATCTTCCTTGCCATCTTGTCTCACATCTTCCACAACCACAACCGATCTTCTCTCTTCGATCCTCGATATCCTTGATCCAATCCTCAACCCAAATCCAAAATCTCGGGCCATATTCAAGCCCGGTAAGTCGATGCTCGGTTGACCAAAAGTCTCTTCTTCGGGAAGTGAAAGTGTCAATGACGTTTTGGATCTTGATGCCGGCTCTGTTTCTCCGAGTCTGCGAACTCTAATTGGAGAAGGCGAGGATGAAGGTAAGGCATCTGGTGTAAGTGTTTTAGTGGTTGCTGCTGCATTTGAGGAGTGTTTGTTTGGACCATTCAAGGATGTTGTGTGAAGAAAAGAAGCTCCCGGTGTAGAAGGCCGAGAGTGAGCTCGGGACGGGGGTTTGAGGATTTGAGACTCGGGATATGTCATATCTCTGGACTTTTTCGTTTGCTTTTCCGGTGTTGATGTTTGGGATTCCCGATTTCAGGGTTTAGAAAGAGATGGGAAAGAAGAACGAAATGAATGGGTTGAAACAGGAGGTTGGTTTGGGATGATTGGGGAAATCTTAACCAAGACATCTTGTGGTGTGTTGAGTCTTCTAATGTTACACGTATCAACCAATGTTTTTGGCTGGAAATTGGTGTGACGGCATTTTCCCAGAGAGATTAAGCTTTGAGCTTTTCACAAAAGATACGCGGCCTGCGACAAAACACAAATTGATATGCCTAGTGACTCTGGTTCAAGTGAGCCCACCTCGTTTCTTGCAGCTTTCTTTTGATCGTATCATAGCTATTGGTGGCACCATTGATATTCCGTTGCAGACTCGGAGGTTAACTCTATACCTCCTAATGGCGGCAAGATTTTCTCATTTTTTGATTTCCAAAACAGTATGTAGAGGTTATAAAGAAGGAAATTTAATGTTACCCCTTCACATAACCAACAAGCTTTGCACAGCTCCCACACTAATCGCGGCAAAGCTAACCATATATCCCGCAATTGCGAAAGCATCCTGAACACTATGTTTATACACTGCCCAGAGAGTTCCGAGCAGAAAGCTCCCAAGTCCAAATATGATAAATGCAATGATCCAAATACTTTTCATATCCCAACCTTCCACAAACTCTAGTCCCCAGCCAAAGTTCGTAGGTTGTCCTTTTTTACAATAGAGTTTCTCTTTTAACTTTTTCGGGAAGCGATCAAGGCATACGCTATCTTCGTCGGCATGTGAGGGGTGTAGAAAAAGATGCATGAGGTGGTTATCTCCGATTGGGGGGATCACTTCGGGGGGTGCAGGTGAGTAACGATATTCAATGTGACCGGGAGGTGGTATAACGTCTTTTTGACGAACGTCAATGAGGGAACTGCGGTACATCTCGAAGTGGACGAATTTTATTGATTTGAGTGTTTTTAATGATATGAGATTGTAAAACCGACCTCTCATTGATTTGTAATTGGAGCGCAGAATAGTGAAAAGTGACTGATCGGAATTGGCCTCAAGATTATGAAGGTCTAGCTGTAAAAGCCGAGTAGCGTAGCGGCCGGAGGGGTAGCACAGAAGAAGGTATAAGAGCTCCACTGGAAGCGGTGTTGGTTCTGCTGCTTTTGGATTATTCGGATCGACCTGACTCGTCGGTGGTTCGTGAGTTGGGAGTCCGGATTCGAGACTTTTCCGGGAAGAATTCGAGGTCCAGAGTGTAAGCATGGTGGAGAAGCTGCTCGATAAAGATCGATTACAGCTACTAATAGTCGAAATACGGCTAGTGTTAGTCCTCTCTGAGTCGTGGCTCGCGAGAATCTGTTTGAGTCGGTTTGCCGCACCAGGACGAAGTTCTGTAAAGTCATCGTAAATTTTGTGTCCGCATTTCTGTCATCATTAGCTCATGTTTGGAACTGAATTATCGGAAGGAACTTACACAACGCCATTCGATCCTTGTCTTTCCTGTTGGGACCGGTGGCCTCTTCCATATCGGAATGACGCTAGCTAAGAGTGTCAACTTTTGCGAGATTGGTTGATACATCTTTTGCAATATCTCTAACTTCAGGTTTGATGAAGATTGTTGGATTTCATCCAACGCCATGAGAACATTCGTACTTTCCTCTACATTCGTAGAAGTCAAAATAAGTTCTCCGTTGACGTCTTCGAGCAGTTCAGGCAATGCAGTCGCCAAGGCGTTTTGCTTTGATGATAAGCTATTCCGTCGGCTAGTTACCGTTGAGATTGATGCCATTATTGGCTGTGACTTTTGTGGATGAATAAAGACCCGTAATTTCTCACGGAACAACTTGAAAGCTTGAGAGTCTCTGACAAAATTCTCAAGGTGTTGGAAATCATCCGGTGCATCAGAGCTTCCAGATGCACTGTCTGAATCGTCTTCCACGTCTAAATCGCCTTCTGTCTCTTCTGCTTCGACAATCGGAAGGACTGCGCCCCTAACGCCAGTGGCCGCGCTTTTTGGTCCTCTTTCTGTTTGGAGAGTGCTACATATCATATTTGCAGAGTTCCTCGCACGGAAGCGAACAAGATGCGCGGCCTGTCGCTCTTCCCGAGTTTGAGCTTCTTTTCGTAATTCAACGGCAAAGCCTTTTAGTAGACGACCCAAGTTTCGCTCGAACCGTTCTCGAGACATTCCTGTTTCTCGCAATGCATCTTCACAAAGTGGTTTTATAACCGTGTCCTCGAGAAGCAGACGCACCAAGCGATCAGTTGCAGTCTGAGAAACCGATAGAGATGACATGGAGGAACCAGTAGCGAGTGATATTGAGGAGAATCTACTATCCGCAACTGATACTACAGATTCCGTAGCCGAGAATTCAAAAGAATTATCGCTTTGGTCGTCGGGAATATCGTCCTCATTCAGAGGTAGGCTTGGATGATCATCAGCGCTTATGTCATCTTCAGTCGAAAATGAGGGTGAAGTCTTTGAGAATTCAAAGCTCTGCTCCTTTCGGTTGTGCGCAAGAAGATCGCGAAAGGTTTTCATATGGACCTCTCTATGCATTTCCAATTTTGTTCTCGGCCAACCTTGTCCATGTAATTTACTTCGGACTTCATTGCCTAACATTGTTATCGCATGTTCCAGATCGCTACCATCCATATTACCGAACCATTGGGACTTCTCTAATGTCGTTTTAGCAAGATCGGTCGCCAGTTCTGTCAATTTCTCTTCAATATCTTGCGAGTTAACGCCGCGAGACAATTTGTCCAGCATGTAAATATGTTTTTCAGGAACCAATCCACTTTTATTTGTCTTGAGATCTTTTGCCACAAGCCAGTCTTGTCCATGTCGATATGAAATTTCAAGGACTTGCCTTTCTACTATCGTTAGTTCATTATCATTCTCTGATTGGAAGTTAAACGAGGCAATGGCCTTTCCGTGTCTCTCTGGTTGGTTGCTCTTATCCCATTCCACATTGATTGCATTGTCATGCTTAGCCTGGGCCTGTGAATCATCGGCAGGAATTGTGGTAGAATTTGTCGATCTTTCAGGTATGTCCGCAACGAGAGATTTTAGTGAAAGAGTTTCCAAATTGAGTAGTTCTGATTGGGACCGTGATGAAAATTCATCACCTATTGTCTCTAATATGTTCAGCCGTCTGGGCTTTACCCTTTTGAGGAGGTTCAACTCTTCCTCATCTAATAATGGACCATCAAGTTCATGTTCCCTAACTGAGATTGCAGATTCTAGACTTTTGCTTTGGGTCCTTGGGAAACTAGAATCCATGTGTGGCTCTGTTGCAGTTTGTCCGACCATTTCAAGAACCTCTATTGCTTTCGAAGGATGGTGTGTCTCCGTGTGAGCTTGCTCTTGGATACCGAAAGCTAATTCCTCGTTGAGCCCCGCAGGTAGTTTGTAATTCAGCACTACTTCCTCAACTTCCTTTAGCCAAATCTTATCTTCTTCACTCGGTAGATCTCCACCATGTTCTAACTTAGCATTTTGTTCGAATTTTCGGGTTGGTGTTTCATTGCGAGTGGGGCGTTTTAGAAGACGTTCATCCTTACGATTTTCGATATCGAGTTCAAGTGCAGACAATTCTACATTTGTATATCCATGACTGTTATCACCAAATTTGGCAGATAACTGGCTTGATCTTCGTCTGTTATCATTTGGGCTTGATTGAACAATGTCGTCGTTCCAATGGGCGATTCTCTCATCGTTGATGTTGAAGGATCTACCCGCATTTGGAGAGATGGACCCAGACACGGAAGTTCTTTCCAGGCTTCTTTCTTCAACTTTGACACCACCCTTTTCCCACTGTAATCCAACATCATCCTCATCTTCTGAAGTGCCTCTATGATTTCGCAACCAATGGGCCAATTCCGTTGAAGATCCTGTCTCAACAGCACCCATGAAGAACTTAATCTGTGAAGACTTGTCACAAGAAGTCGGATCAATTCCGAAACTTTTCTCAAATTTGAGATAACGATGATGACACTGCTCGGAAGTTTTCGTGTCGACCACTGCCGAGACAGCGGGCCAATCTTCCAAGCCAATACGGGCAATAGTTCGTAGCAAGCAAGCATCTTCAGAAGTTGCCCATGGCATAGTATCACTTTGATTCTTGGAGTTGACATTCTGTGAGGGATCATTATCTCGAAAGACCATCCCCAGGTCTCGAATATTATCGCTGGTGAACTTCCTCGTACCTGTGAGGTTATCGATTCGTGTGGCATCCGGTTTCAAGTGATTGAATCCTGCAGTACTATCTTTGACCAAATCGCTAGATGAATCTGCTTCCGGGGCCGTCGACTTTTCAAACAATTCTTGTGCTTCCTGGAGCTTACCTTGCTTTTGATAAACATGACCGAGCCGATTTGCGGTATTGCGAGTTGTAGGGTGATTGCTTCCCAGATATCTTTCAAAACTAGACAGCGCTTGAACATACATCTTCTCGGCTTTAGCCATGTTACCTTGCCGGTAATAGACACGACCGAGATTGTTTATTATGCCATTGATAAGAACTTGTGTAGGACCGCTGACACTTTGATATCCGTATAAAGCTCGTAAGAACATATCTTCTGCTTCGACCAGTTTTCCTTGCTCGAAGTAGACGCGCGCAGTATTTTTTACTGTATCGATGGTAGATATGTTGTCCGGGCCAAGTTCTCGCTCCTTAGCCTCGAGAGTCTGTAGAAGAGCCTTTTCAGTCTCCATCCATTGTAATTCTGAATCAATGCTAGACATTGTTGCAGCATAAGCTTTTGACTCAGTTGCTTTTAGCTCTTTTGATATTCGGCGGTTCCGGGTATCTGAATCTACCAGTAACGGTGTTTCCATATATTGTCGTTTCTTCAAACGCCGTTTTAATTCATCACATTGTCTATTGATATCATCTCTAGTTATATCCGTTGCAAGGTATTTCTTTTGAGTTATACGCCGTTGTAAATCATCATATTCCCTACGATGCCGGCTGTTCATCTCTTCAAAAGTTTCGAAAGCCTCTCTCGTCAAGTCATCCCACCTTGGCTGAGGTGTCTCCACCGAAGGAGAATTACTTACAGCTGAAAGCTCCGGATCATTGAGAAAAACAAGATCTGGTATGGATTGAGACGGCGGAGAGCCAAAGGCATGATTAGTTGCGGTAGGCAGCTTCTCTGAGATCAGTGATTTTCGTCGGCGTGCGATATAAGTACTATTTCTTGGGTCAAGGTCTGAAGGGTCTCTATTAAGTGAGGCTGTCTTCAGGCCCGCAAAGTCGTGAGGTTTTGGTTCGTGATTAGGAAGAGACGGAACATATCTTTGCATGTCTAACGGAATGCTGGAAGGTATGACTTTCTCTGGCTGCTGCCTACTTCGAGTCTTTTCGCAACCCATAGACATATGTTTCTGGGAACTAAGTTCAGTTTCATAAATTTAACCAAAGGGTTTTCAGGTATACGAACTTCAAAATCATCATTTGTCGGAAACATACCCTCACAATCATCGCAACTAAAGACCAGGCCGGTCGCATGTTTGTATCGGTGCCATTGTAAATCTTTAGCCCTATAGAATGATCGAGGGCATTCATCGCATTCGAAAGGGAGTGTCAGTTCTATAAAGTTTGCCTGGCCATTAGTACTGCTGTGTGCTTGTCCGTTATGGTCATGACTTTCGGCGAAACTATCCCCAGTGTGATTTCCCGCTGCATTAGCGTCAGAAGAAATCACGTGCTTATCCTGATCCTCCGGCAGTCTCTCCTCTAATCGCGGCCCCGAATCCCGCAATCCAGTATCTGACATCGAGGGAGCTCGTGATAATCACAAAGTCGATGGACAATAGAACATGGACGTCTTCAGGGAGAGTTCAATACACAATGTTTGATTGAGATAACGAGGTCTACAGTCACATTGATGTGTGAGCAAGGTGGGGAAGCTGAGTTTGACCTTTTCCAATGCCTGCGCTGCTGCATGCATAGCATGGGGCTGTGAGGTAAGATGGGGTCCAAAGGATTCGCCATCATGCCAAATTGCTGAGGCAATCGGTTGTCGTGTACTGTACCGGTACTGGTATTGGCGGTATTGGCATATCAATTTATGAACGAGATCATTAATCAATCCTAGATCAATGATCGGATAATCGTTCTTTTGCATTTGATTTGAGATATGATAAGCAACTCATTGACGTTATTGACATTGTTGACCAAGAGTTTGTGGCACTAGCCAGGCCTTTATTAGCTACACTCGATATACACTCGATACGCACTCGGTACAGTAATTGTCTCCGCTGTTAATCTATACTAACTCTGGCTGTCTACCATGTTTTTGCAGCTTTCAATCACGAAACCTTACAACTCAAGTATAGAGAACTAAATATCATATATATCTATCTTACCTTTGCTAGTGCGAGGATATTTGGTACGAAAGGGTTCTACGAAAGTACATACTGTACTCTCTCTTTTCTACTTTTCGGTTTCTGTATACAAAATGATCCTTTGTCCTGCCATTCGAAACACAAGAAATACGGATTATTATCCCGATATGGAGTTAGAGCGACTTTGATTCCTGCAGAAATAAAGGGTGCTGACATACGGAAAACCACCCCAAAATGCACATTCGAGAGCAAGGTTATGATCATAACCTATTTTCGATATGTTCTTTCTTTGTTTCAATTGGTTATCATGACTGGTTATTCCAGTTTAAAGAGTGTGAATACCTATGCACAAGTTTCGAAAAGGCGCAGTGATAAGCCGCACCTCACAATTTATGGGTGAATCAGAATAATAAGCAGAGCTGTCTTTATTTATCTGGACCTCAACTCTTAGTCAACAAGTGTACTACAGCATTATGCGATGGATGACTTCTTTGCATGATTTTGGAAAGGTTTTCCGTTCGACATGAATTGATAGTTGTTGGTTTGGTTGATGGTTGGATAACATCGAAGTTTTGCGAAAATGAAGTTTCTTAGCATTGCGATGAAACTTATCGCGCTCCGGATTCTAGGATGCGGTAAGCAATTCAAAACCCAAAGATACAATCACTGCCCAAACTAATAAAGCATCGTAGTTTCTGCTCTCGCAACGTTCTCTCCGTCTGGTGGTGGTCCAACATATTCCTTGGGCATACCTTCTACAACCGAGTCCACTGGTACAGGAAACATATATTTCCAACTCAGTGCACCAGATACGTATCAATGGGTTGCGTTAGGAATTGGTCGCAGCATGGCTGGCGCATACATATTTATAGTGTATAGCGACGGGAATGGCAATGTTACAATAAGCGCGAGGACCGGAGGACAAGGCCATGTGGAGCCAATGGTAGATGAAGGACTAGCAAGTAAAGTGCAATTGCTGGAGGGTAGTGGGATCACGGGAGGTGTAATGAAAGCGAATGTCTTGTGTATGTTTATTTGTGGTCCTTGGAGGAGAGCTTTTATTATTCCCAATTAATTTCAGAGTATGAATGTAAGCTAATAGGAATGAAATAGGTACAAACTGCCCTCTCACCTCCACAACAACTACGTCTTCGCCATGGATAGCAGCATGGAATAAAGGCTCTCCGATCGATAGCACCTCCACATCTTATTCTATCAACCAACACGGCGACGATAGCTACAGACAGTTTACATACGATCTCACATCTGCTACCATCACCTCAGACGAGAATCCATTCTTATCTACATCCACAAGCCCATCTGCAACACCATCGCAACCCTCATCTAGCTCAGGAGATAGCGCTGGAGAAACAGGTGGAGGAGGAAGTGAAGAGTATGGAACCCCCGCCTCAACAATCAAAGCCTATAATATTGCACATGGCACTATAATGGGTATAACGATGGTTATTCTCTTCCCACTAGGCGCAATAGCCATGACTATATTTGGAAAATGGTGGCTCCATGCAGCCTTCCAAGTATTCAGTTTGGTCATGCTAATTATTGGATTTGGACTGGGTGTAAAATTGGCGATGTTCAAGGATTACGTATGTTTCATCTCCGATCCTCCTGACCGACCATCAATCCATCATCATATCTTTAGCTTTGATATCCAGAGCCAATAAAGGCAAGAACTGACGATTCATAGCTATTTAAAAATCAGGGCAAGACACACACAAGTTTCGGATTAGCACTCTTCATCCTATTCCTCATCCAACCCATCATAGGCCTCCTTCATCATCTCGCCTACCAAAAACAACACGCAAGAGGTTTTCTGGGATATATCCACATATGGTATGGTCGCGCCCTACTCATATTAGGCATCATAAACGGTGGTCTCGGCTTACAACTAGCTCGAAATACCCGAGGCGGGGAAATTATCTATGGACTCCTAGCAGGGCTAGTAGCCTTGACTTATTTGACAGTAGTGCTATCCAAAGGACTGGGAAAATTCGTAGGTAATAAAGTGAGGTGTGACAGGAGCGGAGAGAAAGAAAGTCGGAATACCGAGAGAATACAGATGGTTAATAGGATGTAGGAGAATATGAGGATAAGGATGAGGATGAGGATGAGGGAGAGGGAGAGGGAGGGAACCAAGGAGGGTAATGGTGCGAATTCGGAGACTAGAGCTCAATATACGTCGACTGCGAGGTAGGAATGGGGGTTTGGGGGTAAATGCGTATTGGCGCTCGGGCGATTAGATATATTGAGTTATTCTATTCTATTTGTATCCCGATTCACGCAATTAGTAAGATCTTACTATTTCAAAGGAAAAATCGTTGCACAATTGAAATGTAATCTTACATAGAAACCTGCAATTTTCATACTCGAATAACTCTACTAAATTTCATTCATGCAATGTGGTCCCCCTGTCACAAGAAACTTCAATGTACTCGAGTAGCTCAATAAACAAAACAGTTATTTCTAAAAGAGCTCGCTCTACCGTGACGTCGCAAGATAGCCAGCCTAGCGCCGATAACTACGAGTACGATAGAGAATACTCCACAACCAATTCCAACTTCCATTTCCAACTTTCAAATCCATCCAAATCCAAATCCAATCCATGCTCCGAAAAGTCAAACTTTGGATACCGGTACTGATCATGACTGACTGGGCTGTAGTGGTAGTGGTAGTGACAGTGACAGTAATAGTAGCATTTTATTTCTCTTTCACGTTCAAATTCTTGCATTCTCGAATTAGAGTTTAGTTATAAAGCAATATATTTCACATTTAGTACTCATATTCCACCCCTTAGCTTAATAGGCCTTGAAGAGTAAATAAAGAGTTCTTTCTTTCTCTCAAACCCACTCCAACACCCAATCACAATTCCAAGCCCCGCGACTCGTTGCACTACCCAATCCCCTAATATCCAGCACCCGACTCGTAGAATTGTACATCCAGCCACTGGCGAGACTCGCCCCATTAAACGACACATGATTGACAGTTGATGAAACACCCATGATGGTAATATTTGCAAGTGGAATACCATCGCTATAATTGCCTCTTCCAGATGCGTAGAGCGAATTTCGCGTCATGGAAAAATCAACCCAGAGAGTAGCATTAGGGGTTAGAGATTCGCCGTCATCGAGATATAGTCCACCACTAGCAGTTCCTTGCAAGCTAGATGTGGCCAATAAACCCCAAGGTTTCTTTCTGCATTCTTGAGTCGTCAATGCGGGTTCTTGGATTGGAAGAATGGCGCCACCGCGTATGAAGACGGGAATATGTCCAAGTGGTGCGTCAATGGTGATATTTTGACCTGGAGATGAGGTTACGACAGACTGATTATACCAATCGTACCAAAGCTCGCCCTTTCCAGATCCGGGAAATACACCATTGACGGTAGAAGCACCCTGCTCTAGGACAGGCGTCACCAAGATGTTGGGGCCGAGTAAGAATTGTCGATCTGCAGACGCGAGCGTGGGATCATTTGGGAATTCCCAGGCAAGAGCACGCATGACGGTGGAGCCAGTGGAGTGTGCTAGGTAGAACGTGGTGTAGATGTATGGAAGGAGGGTGTATCTGATTGTAGTAGCCGCTTTGGTGGCATCTATGACGCTCGCCCACACGTATGGTTCTTGGGAGTTGGCGGCGAGAGTATTGTGATTTCGGTAAAAGGGAAAGAATGCTGAGAGTTGCATCCAGCGGTTACATAATTCTTCGTCAGAGTTACCGGAGAAGCCACACGTATCCGCGCCGAACATAGGGATTCCGAATAATGAAAATGAAAGAGCTTGTGGGATGGAAAAGAACATGTAAGCCCAGAGAGAATAATTATCACCACCCCAATGCCCAGCCCACTTTCCGGATCCTGCGAAAGTAGAACGACCAATGATGAATGGCCGTTTGGTTGGGAAGATATTGAGAAGGGCGTTATAGGTAGCGTTTAGAATCTGGGTTCCGAATAAATTATGGTAGTCGTACTCTTGTGTATTACCATGATGAGTAGCGTTGGGTGAAACGGCATGAACATCTAGTGCTCCTTGGAAGTTATTGATGACATACGGAGGGTATATCACATCCCGGACTCCTGGTGTGGGTGTTGTGCGGATATAACTCGTAGAAGATGACGCTGTCGATGTTGCATAAACTGAAGACTGACTGGCGAAGGCAGAAGATGCAGATGCGGCTTCAGTTGAATTTGTGAGGTTGAATCCTTCTGGGTACGTAAAATCGACATTTCCCGGTTCTCCTGGTAGAAGAAATGGTGGATGAACAGGATTAAGAGTAAGGTTTTTACTTCCGCAGGAGCCAACACAGAAGGAAGAAACTTCACTCATGTCAATCCAAATGCCATCGAAGGAGAAGTTCTGATGCCATGCTGTCAACTCGTCTGACCACCATTGATACGCACCGGTCCCATTCAAGATGGAGCCAATCCAGTCAGGAAAAACAGTGTATCCAGGCCATACACTTCCTATATAAAGGCTATCATCAGGGTTCAACATAAAGCTGTCAGTTTCATTGCCGCGATTAAAAGGTGGGTATGCATCGGTTGCGTTATCAGGATTGGGGATGTAAATTGCAGAGTCAACGATTGGAACGACATGTTGACCATTTGCATGAAGTTTTGAGAAGACTTCTGCTCCCTCAGAATATCCAAATCTGACCTCATCAACCTCAAAATTGCGATATTGATTCATATAATCGATATCTAACCAGATTGTTTCTAACGGAAGCCCGAAGTTTGCGAAATTGTCAACCACGTTGTTTATTTCTGTCCAGTTTGCGTAGCCCCATCGGCATTGGTGATACCCGAAAGTAAAATATTGTTGCATAGCTGGAAGTCCAACAGCACTCTTTTGATATGCCTTGGTAACCTTTTCTTGTGTTGGACCAGCATAGAAGTAAAGATCAATACTTCCACCGAGAGTTCTCCAAGTGATATTTGATGGCTTCATCAAGACTTCCTGACCATGAGCATTTCTTAAATAGACACCATGAGTATAAGAAACGTAATCTGCAGTTACATTGGTTGCATTTGCGACATAGGTCATGTTTCCGGTGCCCGCATCAACCTCATAATACCTTGTATCGAGATAAATTCCATGATCGCCGTAGATATTTGCGTCAATATTATCACCAACATCTGCCGCCCAGAAGGTTCTTGTAAAGTTGTTTCCTAAACGAAAGCCATGAATAACTTCACCTAAGCCATAAAGATTGTAGTTCTCCAGCAAAGAACTAGCAAACTCGATGAATTGGTTTTCATAAACCAATTTAGTACCAACGGTGGAGAAAAGAACATCCCCTGTGGATCGACGAAATATTGAGAATGAAAAGGTTGGATCATTACTCCATAGAAAGCTGAGATCACTATCGGAAGTGGTGGAGTTTGCATCGGCATCAATGGAAGGCTTCTCGACAAGTGACTCTGGCAGGATAAACCAGGAGCTATTCGAAGGTCCAACATAAGTAGGGACAATCTCCACATGGAGACGATCTTTCGATTGATACTCCACTGTCAGATTGAGGAAATCTATATCCGTTCCATAAACATTACAGGCATCGCCAGCTAATGATAGAGAAGCCGTCAGTCCATAAGCGGTTCGTTTAACATTAGATGCAGTATAGCCAGGACAAACATCTTGTGGATTAACCGCTAGTGGATCGTGGATGTTTGGGATGAGAGGTGCGCTGGTATCGACCGAAGCAGGAAGTGTGTAAACTGAACGATAACTCGTGGTGGTGTCTGCTTGCAATGACGTTGAAGTTTGAGCAAGAATTGTATTAAACAGTGCTGTGGACAGTGCAGCAATTGCAGCAATTGTGACACCCGTCCTGCCCATCATAGTTTCTCTGTCGCCCTTTGCGTAGTAATAAAGGAAGAAAAGTCCAGACTGAAGTACAGTAGAGGAATGGAATTATGAGAGAAGAATATGGTGACGAAAGGTCTTGAGGGATATGTAAGTGAGTTTATTTAAAATAAACTCTTCTCCGCACTCCGCTCTACTCCAACCCCGCCAAGAAGTATGTCCCGTAGTAGACAGACCCACGTCATCGTATGAAGAAATTTAGCTGTGGATAGAATTTCGACACTTGTCGATATACCGGTAGGACATGTACAGAAGGGGCGAAAGGTATGTAAGAATGCTATCATCTACTTCTAATGGAAATATGTCGATAGATGTAGAATTGAAAGAAACGCATGACTTTGATTTACCGGTATTTCATTGGGTCATTGGATGTCATTACCGGTAAACCTTCCTTTTATTGAATGTGGTGTGAAGAGTGATTCGTGAGTGAGAGGAATATCCCAGTTGGAAAACAAGTATGTTTGCTCAAGTGTGGGGTGCGGGGGAATGGAGAGGAGAGGAGGAGAAGAATATCATGTGGGATAGGTTAATGTTAGTGTAAGGAGTGAAGGTAGGTATAAAATCATAGGAAAGCCTTCGGTATAAGCTATATATAGTACAATAATCATCTAATTGTAATACTATCAAAAGATGATTATAATTAAAAGAAAATAAAGTAATGATTTGTCTAAATACAAAAGATCGATATAACTTTGAAAAAATATAATATAATAATTAATCTAAATTATTGAAAGAGAGGGTATAAGTACCCTTTCTAAGTTATTATATGACTCTAACAATATTGGTTGGTTTCCTCACATTAGCTTTTTTTTTATTTGGTAGAAAGGAGTTTTATTTTTGAGAAGAGGAAGGGGGAAGGAACTATTTGAAGAACTCATAAAAACACTCAATCGTTCAGAATCAAGAACTGCATAGGATCATCACTTCGACTACCTAAGTAAGTATCGAACTTATCGGTATGTCTCTAGCCAAGATCTGGGCAACACTACATTCTTTCTCTTACGTCCGAATCTTTCGTTCATCTTCTTGGGTTTATTGTCGAATGATCGGTGAATTCTCGTCCTATAAAAAGATTACGATGCAAACAAATCGGGACTCCCTTATTAGGCAATGCACCCCAGATATCCAACGGCGAAGCTCCAATTCCAGTTTCAACAGAAACATCAACGAGCCCTTCGAACCGAAGTCCCAGTCTGGCATCTACTATCTTCCTTGCTTGCGAGAAGAAGTTCATAACACGCAATATTTTTTGAGAAACTGCGGCTTATTCGTCATCGAGCGAAACAAAAAATATAAACTCGAGTAGCTCGAGTAAATGTACCAGAGTTTGTGGAAGCTTGTTGGGTGGAATCTCGACAAAAATCTGTAGCGCAAGTATCAGGCCATGCCAATTTCTCCCCCAAGCCGCCTCGACCCTGCTTATACAATCGGTGAAGAGTTTTTCGAAAATATGTGACCATTTCCTGTAAGCAGTCGACATGATCGAGCCTAGATGAAGAGCTTTGGTGATGAAAAGTTCCCCATCCGCCCGCCTTTCGATGCAGAAGATACAGCATGCCTGCCGGCGGTATTTACACAACTTCGTCAGACCGTTTATTCACGATGCCAGAATGGCCCGCTTTGGTGCACAATACTACAATTATACAATTATCATCGAGACGATGAGATGATTGGTCCTAATGACAGTATTTCACCATGTGCATGGAGATACGTATACCTTCCTTGTACCTTGGCATGTCATACAACATTCGATTTTTCTATATGGCCAGTCCAGAAACTAAAAAGACTTAGATTACTCTCTTGTTGTTTACCATTATATGGTACGTGCTGGTGGACCCGAGTTGGGGACTTTCTGGTGGCATGAGTATGAAGTACAACAACTAATGTCGATCATCGACAACGCGAAGGAAGTCTGCTTCTATTTCTAGATTCCAAGACTTCTAAGTTATATCTACTTATACCGTTTTCACTAAGCAGGGGTAAAGGATAAAGTTTAAGGTTATTCTGACAGACCTACTACCTAACTCTCGTATTCCTATTAGGAATCCTTCACTTAATCAGCAGCTATACTATATTGAGTCGAAATGTGCGGGATTACACCCCAGTTTTCCCCATACCAAGACAAATAATCCCTGCTTAGTATACGGTACTCATATACCGTATACTTTTGGCAAATTGGGTCTGCAAGTACAGGGTTTAGCGATTTACTCGAGTATCGCGTATTACAACTCAAAACAGTAAATCTGTAAATCAGATATAAGGTTTCTTCCAATAGGATTTCAAATTTTTAATCTGATCGGCCTGTCATAAACTCTGCACTTGCAGACCCAATTTGCCAAAAGTATACGGTAGCGGGAACGTTAATGGGATTCTGATTGTGGGCTGCTCTTATTATACTTATTCACCTGCCATATTCACTCCTAACAACGTCTTGGCAATATTATTTCACCAATAATATCAATAACATCCATCTCAGCTTTGTGCCAATACCGATTAACCTTATTATGGAATCAGTCGACCGTTTTGTTTAAGATTTGTTGCTTACCAATATCACTAAACATTACCAACCACAAGGCCAAGTACCGGTAATGAATTGTCGATGTATCTTGGATACTCCACAAATCGGATGAGTTTTGTAGAATCCCCCCGCTCGTGGATCTTTATACTGCATGGGTTTCACTCTCATTGTCTCACTGTACTACGAAGACATTAACAACGGTCAATTATTGCTTATTGAAAGTGCGTACAGCAACTACTTCCGTCAAAACATTGTTCCAATAGTCTGGCACGACTCACGAGCCAGTGGCTCAAATTTCAATGTTTTGGTGATTCTACATTGAAGACTTTGTGGGGACCAATTTTGTGCAGCGACAAGGAGAACTATTTTGGTTTGCCAAGTTCCTGGGGACCGGAAATGATTCCATTTTGATTTCTATATACAGTATACCCAGCTACGTTCGAATCCTTTACTCTTTACCCTTTACCCTGTCGGCCTGTCGTCATTTGAAACATTACGTCTAATATACATTGGACTACATTATTTTACTTCACTGATCGGCACAAACTGCTATCCGGACTCGCTTTATTATTCTCGTGTTTTTATGAGTATGATTTTGTATGGTGGCTTTAGAAGTCCTTCGGAATATTGTCTTTTTGGAATCATTGTCCTTTGGAACTCAAGCTGCTTTCTATTGGTCTCGTCGTACAAGCACGGTCGTGCACTCGCATCAAATCTTTATGCATGACTCCAATCTGGGATGGTGTCACGGTGGGAGATATAAATAAAAACGTGAAATCGACCGCAAAATTTCTTGGCTCCTCCAACAGGTTTCTATACCATGGAGGTGGACCCCTCCTTCATCCACCGGGTGATGATCTCCAGTCCAGGAAGCCCCGAAACTATAGAACAAGAGACCTATGATTATGATTATGATTATATATCTATTTGTGTTATGGATTTCACGTTTCCATTGTTTTAATTGGAGGCTTAGCATGTGGACCAAGTAGCACAGCATCGTCGGTCGCATGTTATGAATGTCCAGTGGGAAGGTGTGATTCCATTTCCGTCACACAGTAAATTCTGAATAGCTTTCCTTGCCAATTCCCTGCATATTTATTACAAAAAAACTCATGATTGGAAAGTTTCTTTGCTAATTGGCTTGAAGACAAATTTTATGTCATACTCATGGATGGATCACGTACAAGCAAGCGTCGTGCAGAGTAGAATATTGTCCGGGTTCATATTGATGGGGTCAAATGTAAGGGTAATAGTTCTGGATGTCTGTCTCTGGAAGCCTCATTCAAGTCATTCTTCAAGGATTCATCGAGAACATGGTTCATGCGTCTTAACTTTCAATGATTTCTATAATTTCTTATGAATCATTGCCAATCTCCCTGGGTATAAGAATGCCATCCAGTCCCTCCTCTCAAGTTTCTGATGCTATCACCTCTACAAACCAGTCTGTACTACCAACTTCGTCAGTATGCACTTGACAACAGTCCTAAGCCTCGTGGGCCTGGTCACGGCTCAATGCCCTTACGGACTTAACACGCCACCTCAAAAACGTGAATCTACCGATGCTCATATCAGTAGTACTAGCTTCTTGAACCAATTCACATTGAATGATACTAATGCATACTTTACCTCCAATGCCGGCGGTCCCATACAGGAAAACACTAGTTTGAAAGCTGGTGAGAGAGGCCCTACACTACTCGAAGACTTCATATTTCGCGAAAAGATACAACACTTTGATCATGAACGGGTATGTTCTTCTATCTCCACAACCAATGGCTATTCTAATTTTTTAAATAGGTACCGGAACGTGCCGTGCATGCCAGAGGTGCCGGTAAGTATTGTACTACGTTTTTTGTGAATGGTCATTGACGTTCACGTAGGTGCTCATGGCGTTTTTACAAGTTATGGAGATTATAGCAATATCACTGCCGCTAGTTTTCTAAGTGAAACGGGAAAAGAAACACCTGTCTTCGTACGATTTTCAACTGTAGCCGGTAGCAGAGGTAGTGCCGATACTGCACGCGATGTTCATGGCTTCGCTACCAGATTCTATACTGATGAGGGAAACTTTGGTAAGAACTTTCGTCCAGATCTTGGTAAAAATGAAAAACTAATGCCATATAGATATTGTTGGAAATAACATTCCCGTTTTCTTCATTCAGGATGCAATTCTGTTTCCCGATTTGGTTCACGCTGTCAAACCATCACCGGATAAAGAGATTCCCCAAGCAGCAACAGCTCATGATTCTGCTTGGGATTTCTTTAGTCAGCAACCTAGTTCTCTTCATACTCTTTTCTGGGCCATGGCCGGAAATGGAATCCCCAGATCATTTCGTCACATGGATGGATTCGGTGTTCATACTTTTCGTCTAGTCACGGATTCTGGGACTTCCAAGTTGATCAAGTGGCATTGGAAGAGTAAACAAGGAAAGGCAAGTTTGGTCTGGGAGGAAGCTCAAGTCTTGGCGGGGAAAAATGCAGATTTTCATAGAAAGGACTTATGGGATGCTATAGAGAGTGGCAATGGTCCTGAGTGGGAACTAGGGATTCAGGTCGTGGAGGAAGACGATGTGTTGAAGTTTGGATTTGATCTCTTGGACCCCACGAAGATCCTTCCTGAAGAACTTGTTCCGGTTCAGAAGATCGGAGTCATGAAGTTAAATGCCAACCCCAGGAATTATTTCGCGGAAACGGAGCAAGTAATGGTAAGAAATCCCTGTGCGTTTTGAAAAAAAAAGCCATGATCTAATCGTGAGTGATTTAGTTCCAACCAGGGCATATCGTTCGTGGTGTCGATTTCACGGATGATCCACTTCTTCAAGGTCGTATATTTTCATACCTCGACACTCAACTCAATCGCCACGGTGGACCAAATTTCGAACAGATTCCTATCAACCGTCCACGCGTTCCGGTTCATAACAATCACAGAGATGGTGCAGCACAACAATACATTCCACTGAACACCGCTGCTTACTCTCCAAATACCGTCAATAATGGCTCCCCGAAACAAGCAAACCAAACAGTTGGCAGAGGTTTCTTCACCGCTCCTATAAGAACCGTCTCGAGCAATTTAGTCCGAACAGTTTCATCGACCTTCTCCGACGTCTGGTCTCAGCCCAGATTATTCTACAATTCCCTCATACCCGCCGAACAACAATTCCTCATCAACGCCATCCGATTCGAAACTTCCCAACTCACATCCAACGTCGTGAAATCCAACGTGCTCATCCAACTAAACCGCATCTCACACGATCTCGCCACCCGCGTCGCTTCCGTCTTGAACCTGCCTGTTCCAGACGCTGACGCCACTTACTACCACGACAACACCACATCCTCCATCACAATATTCGGCCACGATCTCCCCACCATCGCTACTCTCAATGTCGGAGTCTTGGTCAGCGTTAAAAATAACGCAAGCTTAACACAAGCGGCACATCTCGCAACTGCATTTTCTACCTCGGGCGTAAACGTTATAGTCATAGGGGAAATCTTGACAGCCGGAATAGATGCTACATACAGCACCTCAGACGCAACACTATTTGATGGGATTATCGTAGCAAATGGCGCAGAGACCCTCTTCAATGGATCCAAATCAACTTATTTCCCGATGGGTCGACCGCGTCAGATCTTGGTGGATGCGTATAATTGGGGTAAGCCGGTGGGAACTCTAGGTAATGCAGTTGTGGCATTAGATGTCGCGTCGATTTCGGCAGGAGCTGGTGTGTATAGTAGTGGTGCAAAGGATGGGGATGTGGATGTGAAGGGGTTTGTGGAGGAGTTCGAGGCGGGATTGAAAACTTTTAGGTTTGTGGAGAGGTTTGCGTTGGATGAGGATGAGTAGGTGGATGAGGATGAGTGAGTGGAGCTCTGGCGCTCACGGAGTGGCGTGGCTAGATGGTTGTTGCTGTTTACCACTGTCCTTGTTCGACATGGAAAGTTTATATACATGATTCATAAACGATCTTATTACTGGGTATTTGACTTCGTTATTGTGAGATCTTCATTAATTGCAAAGACTTCAAAAACCAAAAAGCTTGTTAGATATTACAACATTCTTTTTATTGTATATTGAAAATGTATTTACTTTGTCTTGTAGCCAGTTATGATTGCAAAGACTTCAAAAACCAAAAAGCTCGCCAGATAATCCAATACAACATTCTCTTTATTATACTAAGTATATTGAAAATATATTCACTTTAACTTATAGCCAACTACTTGCTGTAAAAAATGCCACGAAATCAAACGAACAAGATCAATCAATATCCAGGCTCAAATATCACCTTATGCACCAACATTTTATTAAAAATATCATACCCCTCAACCACTTGACTCAACGGCATGATCTTATCAGTCATAAAACTATATGTAGTCAGAAAATGCACCGTAGGTAGGTAGGTAGGAGAATATTCAGACAAGAGGAATGAATAACGTACTCGAGTTTATGTTGATTTTTCCTGAGAATCTCCATGGCTTGTGGGAATATACTTCGGACTGGACATCGCCCAAATTGTGATTTGATGTTTTTGGCATACGCTTCGCTTCCTGACCAGGGAATGGCTTCTTGATGTACACCTGATGTTATAGATAGTTGATTAGCGAGATATTTCCTTTCCCTTCTCAAGTCAAACAAGCAGGCAAGCAAGCAAGTAAGTCAAGCAGTCAACATACCAAAACTTGCAATAGTTCCCCAAGGCCTCAATAGATCGAATCCCGTCCTCAGCGCATCCGAATGACCCACTCCCTCAATAACGCAATCGGCTCCTCGTCCATCGGTTAACTCCTTTACTCGCTTCGTCAACCCCTCTTTATGCGTCTGATCATTCCACGGCTCAGCCCCCAACTTCTTCGCCAACTCCAATCGACTTTCTACCCGATCGATAGCGATCACGACTTTGGGTTTATATTCCAAAACATTAATTAACGCACACAAACCCACCGGTCCACATCCAATCAAAACCACCACACTATTACCTATAGTCTCGCTCTCCATCCCCTCAAAAGCATTCCGGGCTGCGAAATACCCCGTCGGAAATATATCCGCCATCAATATCAACATCCTCTCATCGATTCCCTCCGGGGCCTTCACAGCCGTCGCATCCGCCAACGGAACTCTCATATACTCCGCCTGCCCACCATCCAACAGCGGACATCCGAACAACAAACACTCCTCACACCGCGACGAATAGCCTCTTGTACAATAAAAACATTTCCCACACGACACGGTAAAAGGCATGACGATCGAATCGCCTTTCGCATGTATCTTGACTTCGTTGCCTACCTCGATAATGATACCCGTCGTCTCATGGCCCATGATAAAGCCCGTTTTCGAAGGTTGGTGGCCGCGGAATACGTGCAGTTCACTATGTGTGGAATTGATTAATGGTAATTCTAACTTCTTACGTTGATGCGCAAGGTAAGATAAGGTGAGGATATCGTGAACGAACGAATGAACATAAACCAACTTACCTGCCACATAATGCCGAATATCTAACTTTGATTATAACATCAGTCTGATTTACGATTTTCGGAATCGGACGATCTTCAAGACGAACATCGAGAGTGCCGTGGAAGACGACGGCTTTCATCGTATCGTTGGACATGGTACTGGTATAAGAAGTTTGAATAGTTCGTTGGTATTGTATAGTATGGTGTCTGAATCTTAGGAAAGTTGCACTATAGTACTCAAGTAAAAAAACAAAATCTCAAAGTCATAAATAAAGATGAAGAGCCCTGATTAACAAACTCATAAAATCCCTCGGGACCTACCTAACCTATCTATCTACACATTTATCTTCGTACCCGGGATTTGCGGGGAAGATCATCTAAGGTTACTCGTAGGGGTATATCTCAAGGAGGGGTAATTAGTGGGGGTCAGTCAGTTTTGTTTCCTTATATCAAGCCCTCCCGGAGTTGTCCTGTTGCGCTACCAGATTTGATTTTGATCTCATCACAAGTACTCGGGTACAAGCAAAGTTTGAAAATTACAAATCTTTTTTTTCAGAAGGAACTCATTTGTTTCGATACCGATATATTAGATGTATTAGATGTATTAGATATATTAGATATTAAATATTCCAAGTAGGATGAATATTTCAAATAGGATTCAATCAATACCTTACCTACCTACAGTACATAATAAACTAAACTCAACATATCAAAGGGTTTCTGACATCAGTGACATGAAATGATTTCAATATAAAATACTGTATATAAATAATCCAATTTGGGCCATCTGGAATCGAGAATCGAGAATCGGGAATCTTTTCATGTAACCCGGGTTATTGGAAACCCTGGTTGTTTATCAGCCATCGCCCATCCATCCATCCATCCATCCATCTATTCATATGATACAAAACTGCAGGTACAAACTATAATTGTGTACTCCGTAGTTGCCGTCTGAGATGTCAAGTTGGAGATCAGATCAACGATCACTTGGCTCTTTGGTCCAACCACAGAAGTGGGGTTTCTGAGTTTCTATCAGCGATTATAAAATTGCCATGCCCATCCATATCCGTATGATATCATATCATATCATATCTCAGTCTCTCCACCATAATTCATATCATCATATCAACATCCCCAAACAAACAAACAAATAAACAAGCAAACCACCACAATCAGAGTACACATACACATACACATACACATACACATACACATACAATCACCATGGCAGGAATACAACGAGCACTCGACTCCGGCGCCGTACCAAGCCACATCTCCAATGTTTGTCCCCCAGGAACGCGAGCATATCTGCTAGAAGTGGGCTGGTTAGAATGCGACGAAGGGTTTGTAACGAGAGGCGGCAACACATCATTGAAATCCAGCGAAGGGGAAAAATTCGTGAATAAACGAAGAGAATTGGTAGTGTATTGTGTGTTGATTGATCATCCACATGAAGGGGTGATTTTGTGGGAGACGGGGTGTGGGGTTGATTATCCTACCGTTTGGGGTCCACAAGTGGCCGACGTCTTTGCGAGAGTCAAGTATGAACCTAGACATGAATTGAAAGCTGCGATTGAAGCGACGGGTCACAAACTGGATGATGTTAAGAAAATGTATGTTATGACGCGGCAGATTGATCGAGAAATGTACTTATACCATTGCCAGAATTCTTGGTCACATGCACTTGGATCATGCAGGTGGATTGGATCAGTTCTTGGATAGGAAAGACGTCGAGATTTGGGTTCATGATAAGGAGTT